AAAGCCTTCAAGATAAGACACTACCTATCAGGCATTAGCTACCTCTGACTTCTCTCATGGACTGCTCTGGCTGGCAGGAACCACATGAAATCGTACCTAACACAGCTCTAAGAAAAGAAAGCCAATAGGTAGGGAGTAGCACACCTACTGTCATGTCACTTAGTCAGAGAGTGGCATGCTGGGTGATCTTACCCCGGAGAGTCTCATCTTTGTTCTCGTAGGTTCTGCATAACAAGACAACTTCAATCCAGTGCCAGTAGAGCAAAGCAGCTGCCACCAGAGCGCCCACCAGCATCAAGGCCGTGCCGAGGAGGATGTGTACAAACACCACTGAGGGAAACACAGAGCTCTGAGCAAACACATCTGGGCCAACAACCCTGTTATGTAATAAAAACCAGTGCTGCTACCTCTGTCATCTTAAGTGTAGACGGAATTGTCCATAATTAACCCTAGAGAGCCAGGTGGCTGAGGATTTCCTGATGACCTACTATGCTGAGCCTTTTTACCTATTTTTTGTTCCCACGAGTGTCTACATAGCTCATCTATACCATTGCTGTTGCCTGTTGTAAATTACATTTGTGTGTGCTCATTTCCACTGAAGTCTAAACATTCCTAGACCAGGAGTTACACCAGTGTCACCCTGCACCCTCTGTGACTCAGCTTATAAATAAGGGATCTGCATAGGATCCATCACAGCAGGTTGACAGTGTCACGCTATGGCTGGAGGACATTTACACTGCCCGATTGTGTTCCAGTCATCAACTAAGCAAGTCCGTGACTTACCCAACCTCATCCCTGGACATCTTGTTAAGGATTGAACTGTTCTTCATGGGACATTTCTCTGAGCTGTTGTCATGTTCTTTGGAAGCCAGCCAAGGCAAACGGCAAAGAAAGTGATGTCTACATACTGGGCCTGCCATGGTGGGTGTGGGTGGGCACGGGGCTGGGGATTCTTGTAGGTACAGGAGGGATTAAATGGGCTAATTGAGTGCTTTAAGGAATGAATAAGTGGGAAGGGTACATGAATGGGTAACAGCGTGAACGGACAATCTGGGTGAATTGAGTAATGGGCACTTACAACACAACACAAATTAGTTGTTAGAAGCCTAGGTCAAAGTCAGTTGTACGGCCATGGTCAAGAGCTTAAAGGAGCTACCAGACCAAAGTGCTTCAGTGTCTGGAAAACATTCACTGCAAACACTGATGCTCTTCTTTGGGAAAATGGTCCTTCCCCTTTCAAGAAGAACAGTTGTGAGTCTTTGGGAACAAGGTTCTAGGCTTACCCCCTTCCTTCTTCCTCAGCTGGATGATCCGTGTTGTGTTCCCAATGGAGTTCTGGGCAAAGCACACAAACTTTCTGCTGAGATCTCTTTGAGTGACTTCTCTCAAGAAGACGGTACGTTCAATGACTTCGTTCTTGAAAGTGGATTGAATCCTAGAAAAGGAGGGGGAAATTCACACCCACTCAGGAAGATCAACTGTCACTCATGAAGGTGTGCTCAGAAGTCTGACGAAGAGTCAGTGGGAATTTCTCATAAGAAGACCGTAGAAGATCAGAAATAGACAGAGAAGGCTTGTTCTTGATCAACTGATGGAATCTGCTAAGGGTTTACACTAAAGTTACTTGTGGGCCTCTTCTGGACTTTATTGTAAGAATCCCCACTTGGGAATGAAGAATATTAATAATTTATGAACAGGCTCAGTCTGTAGAGTGTTTCCTTCCTAAGCATGAAGGCCTAAATTTAATCCCCAGAACCCATGTAAAAAGCCAGGCATGGTAACATGTACTTGTAATCCCAGCATTGGGAAGGCAGACATAAGTGAATCCCTATGGCTCACTAGCCAGCCAGCCTTGTTTAGTCAGGAAGAGATTCTGCTCCCCCATCCCCACCCCCACCCCCAACCCCCCACTCCCACCCCAAACAAGGTCAGTGACCTTTGAGGAATGAAACATGAGACTTACCCCTAGCTTCCAAATGCAAGTACACATGTGTACATACACCTACACACACACACACACACACACACACACCACCACATCTACTTCCTCTTGAGGCTTGCTACCAGGTACTTGCCACTGACTATTGGCTCTTTAATCTCTTCCTTCCTCGCCACACAAACTCTAAAGGAGTCATGAGATGAACATCCTGACTTGGTAGTGTCAGGGGCAAGGCTCAGAGGAGGAAGAGTAGTGCTTGGCCACAGTAATGACATCATCCTTCAGTATGTCCCACCTCCAGCCTGGCACCCAGATCTCTGCCCCACTCAGCAAACTATGACTCTCTGCATTTACTTAGTTCCCATTGTCTACGACTGCATCGTTCATTGGTCACATTAAGGGACTGTGTTCAGACGGGTTATGCTGCTGTGAGCCTACAATTAGTCCACAGATGCTTCCTGCTTGCCACACATTCTGATGTTCGTGTGGCTTCCACCACATCTGTCCCTTATGGTGACCTTGAAAACTGGAGGTTTTCAGTCACAGAATATACCTAGGTGATGGCCTGTCACAGAAGGCCAGGGCTGCCTTGCCACTTCCTGGAAAGAAGATTGAAACCCACAGGTGAGGTGGCTTGGGAACCTGGGCTCGGCCTCATTTTTCCTACGTAGACCCTCATGCAGCATCAGTTTGAAATCCCATGTTTTCCTAGATCTTGGAACTTCTCGCTAAATGGTGTTTCCCCTAGCAAACTCTTTCCTTTACTGTCTATCTATGGTTTCCAAAATATTTTGTTTGCTCAGTGAAATCCTTAAAAAACAAGAGGGAACATTCTGTGGATTCTTTGGGGGGTATCTAATGTAGAAAATTGGTAGGACACATCTCCTTTTGACGTGTCTGACTGGCCATGATGGACCTCAGCTCTTTCATTCTAGGATAGAGACTTACTTTTCTAGACATTGGAGGGCGTGGCACTGATGGTCTACAATTTTCTTTTTAACTGGTCAAGTTCTCTCTCCCATAAATTCTGAGCTGTCTGTTAGTTACAGATAACAAAGAATGAAGTCTAATTATCATAAAATGTTTTAGTCTGCTAGTGTTCCTAGATAGACATCTCCACTCCAGGGTAAGCCATGTAACCAATTCTCTTTTGTCAGAATCTGTGCTATGGCGCCATTTTCTTAATACACTGAATGAAGGCACAGTTGAAGATCTGGTGGAGCAGGAACCACCCTTTCCCATTTGTGTTTAAACCCCTTTGTGGGCTGAGGATTTAGTCAAGTGACAGAGTATGTGTTCAGCACAGTGGGTGTCCCTGGTACCAAGACAAAATATGAAAGCTTTGGATGTTGTTCAGTGGGTGGAGTGCTGGCCTAGCATGCTTGAGGTTCTGGGTTCAATCCCAAACACACGTTAGAATGTAATGATACGTGCCTGTAATTCCAGAATTTGAAAACTTAAAATTTCTCCCACATAGAGAGTTTGAAATACATGAGACCCTGTCTCAAAACAAATTAAATTAAAAAAAAAAAAAAACACTGTAAAGCGGTCTAGGGTGTTTGAAACCATTATGCAAACATCACAGGGTATTTAACACAGGCATTCTAACATCACTACGTGATACAATCTTAGGGGGCCACTTTTGTATACGGTTCTGTCATTGACTGAATATTCTGTATACCTAGTTTACTTTATGGTCCCATGAGAGATGGGGTGCCTCTGAGTTTTAAATGAATATGATAGAAGAGAGATAAGAGGGGGGATAAATGGATGGATAGATAATAGTGGCTGGTTAAATAGATGATAGATAGATAGATAGATAGATAGATAGATAGATAGATAGATAGATAGACAGACAGATGATAGACAGACAGACAGACAGACAGATAGATGATAGACAGACAGACAGACAGACAGACAGGGTTTGTGTATTTTTATTTTTGCCACTAGTAGGCGCTAGTGGCTACCCCACCACCATAAACTCTGTTTTAGCGATTTCTAAAGCTTTGAAAGCACTAGTTCGGGTCACAGTGGCTAAAGTTCACAATATTTTTCTTACCTTTTTTCCTCAAATAATGGCATTTCCCACTCCTGTGTAGAATCTTTGACATACCACTTTATTACAGGCTTTGAAAATCTTTGGAAGCCAAACTGGACTCTGCAGGGTAGAGTTAAAGATTTTCCTGAAAATGCAGAGGTCAAGAAAACAGAAAGAACACATCAGAACATTGATGTGTTGGGAAAAGACCAGAAGACGGCATCAGAATGTAGGCAGGTGTCAGTCAAGTGGGTACCAGGAATAGCCAAGCATGAACACATCCCACTCAGCAACACAGTTCTGCTTACAACTGCCCCGTGTGGCTCAGCTGTGTGTCTCAAATGTGTAGCTATGTCCCTAATATGAGGAAATCCACAATCAAGCTGGAGCTCTGTGAACAGGCTACTCTTCTACCTAGTCTTTAACATTAGTGATGATGTATAAGATACAGCAAAAAGATAATTTGACTAGCTGATATTTACATATTGAATCAATGCCATGAGGTTACCGTGAATGTAAATTCTTTTAAAGAGCAAAATAAAAAACAAGCAAAAAAAGAAAAAAAATAAAAACTCACACACATATCTTACATTGAACCTTCTGCAAGGCCAATTAATGGTTAGAACTTCCATGATCATCAAAGGGTTGGAATGTTCCAGGTCCACAGCCTTGTTACAATTGATCTTGGGCCTTTTTACCTTCTTTAGCAGCCATTCCTTGCCCACCTCCATAGCTGACTTAACATCCTTATGATGATTAGGATGTATTAGATATTTTTAAAGGATGTATTGGCATAACAGACCACTGGCTTCTGCCAACCAAAATGTTAAAACTGTCATCAAACAGCTGAGGTCTCCTTAATGGGCTGCAGACTGTGTATCTGATCTTAACCCCAGTATATTTGAAAAGTGTCTTAATTTATTATTTTCTCTTTCCTGTTGTCATAAAGCTTTGTGAAACTGTTATCTCATTGGAATATGGATTTGGGGTAACTGAATCTCTGTTGCTGGGTCACACTAATTCATATTGGATCCGAGTAAATAATGTCCATGGACATTATTATAGCCATAAAAGGCCTAAGATAAATTGTAACAAGGCTGTGGACCTGGACCATCCAACCCTGCCACAATCATTGAGGTTCTAGACATCAATTAGCCTTGCAGAAGGTTCAGTGTAAGGTGTATGCAGTTAGGTAAGAAATCATTTAAATTCTCAGACATTTGGCATACCATACAATGGAAGGATGGATGCACCATGCATGTTATTGGACCAGCCTACCTCTTCCTACCCTCTCCATCCCCCAAGCCCTAGTGTGGATTATCCTCCATTTAGAATTGACTTGTGTATGAATGGGTGGGGAATCCACTTGAAAGCTCATCTTTGGATCGTGATCTCTTCCACTAGCAATGCTTTAAGAGTCACTGATGCTGTACACAACCGGGCTGTGTGATTTGAATGGATTTTTCTTCTTTCCATGATCCTGTTTTTCCTCTTCACTCCTGCTACTTCTAGCCACAGGATGTGCCACTGCTGCCACCTACTGACTTTATGCCGTCATAATAATTTGTTTACATATCTTTGTACAAAACTAATTTGTTCGAATTTGAAATGGTGACTACAGCACTGAAACATCACCATTTTCTTTCAAGGATAACAATTTCTACTCGGCTGTGTATAAAACAATAAATGTAGCTGACAGAATAAAAGGCAGCCAGAAGAAGGTCAGTGTCTCCTCTATCCAGAAGAAGGCACCATTTTGGAATACATTTGAGCAAGAGTTGAAGTATTCTTCTATAATTGCCTTAAGGGATAGTCCATGAGTCATATTCATAGGGCTTGATGCTAACTTTCTAAATTCATACACATTACCTAAATAGAAACATATGCATCTAACATATAAAATCAGTTCATCTTCTTTAAATCACCAGGCACTTAGAATATGCTTCCTCAGGATACCTCAATCGAAGATCAGGATGGATAGTGAGGGGCAAATCTGATGACTGAGGCTTAGGATCAAGGAACCATAAGGGGCAACAAAACTAGTCAAGGCCAAGTGAAGGTACACAGAAAATACTCTAGCTCAAAAGTCTAATTGCTCTTCATGCCACACTCTGATCTAGTCTCTGAAGCACAGGGTGAACCAGGGATGATAATAACCAGGCAGCTTACCAAGCTCTACGTCCAGTGTATCTGCAATGGGATCCAGAATGACTGGCTTCACGTTGATGTCCTTATCTGAAAGTTGAAAACAAAAATCACCCTTTGCGTTGAGAAGTCTGAATATTTGGGGATATTACATAAACACCAATATAAGATGTTAATGCTGTTTTTTATTTTGTTTTTTAAATTTTACCCAGAATGCATAAATCTTGGAATTGAGATTTCCACTCAAAAGGTTGCTTCTTCAGGGCTGGGAGGAGAGCTCAGTTGGCACAGCACTTACAACAGCACAAGTTGCTGAGTTTGATCTGTGGAACTCTCAAAATATTGCCCCTCCCCCACCCCCATGGGCACGGTGAGCGTGCTTGTAATTCTAGTGTGGCGAAGTAGAGTCACACAGACACCTAGGGCTCACTGGTTAGACAACCTGGCTTACGTGACAAGTTACAGGGCAGTGTGAAATTCTGTCTCAGCAGAAACTAATGGATCACACCTGAGAAACAAAACTCAAGTTTGTACTCTGGCCTACAAACACACTCCTACACACACACGTACACATGCAGGCACACACATACACACAACTTGTCTATGAAATGACGGGTACACCAGGCTACAGATGTTAGATTAAAAACTAGTTCTTCATGAATCCATCTTTCCTATGGTAAATGGTCTTCCCCAGTCAGTCCTACTCACTGCAAACTTGAACTTCCATCTGTGTCTCCTACAGGAAGATTTCTTCTTGTTGCCATTTGACTGAGTCACCAGCCAAGAGGAAGAACCTGCCTAAGGAACTGAGCTCCTAAACTATCCACTCAGCAACCCTACAACTCATAGTTTACCTTAGAATAGAGGAGCAATGCATCTAGACGCTGGTTTTATTTGCCCTTTACCTTTCTGCCACAAAGTTCCCAATGTGACTCCATTGCTCTGCTTTACCCTGAAGGTGTTCCATCTCCCGTGAAAAGCCACGCTCTCTACTGCAGCACCTTGGCTCTCAGTTCTCATGGGCTTCCTCACCTACACCGTCTCCCTTGTGCCCTCTAGCACCTACACGGCTCTCGCAATCCTCCTCCTGACAGTCTTGCCCTCCACAGGGAACTGAATTAAAGAGTCACACCATTAGGAAGGTTGAGAACCACGGATCTAGACTATGATATTTCAGTGGCTCATGGGAAGCAGATGGGGCACGGATCTTAAGCTGTAGCAGTGATGTTCCTTTTCTTTAAAAAAAAAAATGCACAAGATTTTAAACATGTAAAAAAAAATTAACATATTTTAAACAGATAAGTGTATGTCACTTAACGCTTCATGTAGAAAAATATCGAATGCATATTTAAATTTATTGCAAAAATTAAACCAGAAAGAAAGGAATAGCTATCCCATCTCAAGATGAACATGACCCAGAGTTGGGTCTCTCTGTGTGATTAGACCTTGGTTGATGGAGACATTGGATTTGCCAACATGCAACCCTCTAACGGTTGCCAATGTGTGATTATCTCTTTTTTTAATCTAAAGGAAAATAATCACTTAACCAAATAAAGATGATTTTCACTGGTCAACAAGAATTCAGATAATGTCACTTACCGATGGTTCTCACTTGAACCACAGCACGGACTGTCCAGGAACTCACATTATCTGACTGGGTGTAGTCACATACATATAAGCCTTGGTGAAAATCATAAATATCTTCCACATCAATTGGATTTTTCTTATGCTTCAAAAGTAGTCTTCCATCCTAATCCAGAAGATAAGAAATGAAACACCTTTCTGTAACCTCAGAGTTCTTACTGAGATTCATTTCACCCATAGTAAAGCTTCAGAAACTCTGAACTTGGAGTCAAACAAGAAACTGTCTCTTAGACTCCTTCAGTGACCTTCACACAATTTCTGTAGTTCCTCACAGACTGATCTGGTCTCGTTCTGGGCTATGGCTCATTTGTGTGCCTGTCTTTCCCTGAGGAGTCACACTCCGTGGAATCCCTGCATTTCCAAGGCCTTCATGGCTTCCCCCAGAGCACAGGCTGCAGCTCCAGCCAAAGCTCCATCAGGACTCAGATTTGGGGAACAAAATCATCACTTTCTCCCAGCAGAACTGCCATTTCACATCTCCAGAGGCTTGGAGGCAATCAGATGTTACAGACACATCCTTTTTACAGAAAGGATGTGATGGGGTACATCCCTCTCTATAGTTGTTGAAAGTAGTCTTTGGTCCTAGGAAGCAAGTGAATCATGGGTACATGGTAGGGGGTAAACATGAGTCACTTCACTCAGCAGACTGTGAGCCACTAGGCCGAGTCTCAAGTCTTTCTATCACATCACACAGAGTGCTCAAGGGAGTACTTGGCAGCAGCAGATCTCAGCTCACATAAAACAGGGCTACCTCCTTGAGTCTGAGCAGAGTTGTGAAGAACGCAGAGGAGTCAATTAAAAATCAATGTCATCTTAGGACATGTAGAGCAAAGCTCGGGTGTGGAAAAGAAGGCCAAGGCAGACTCTGAATGTGTTTGATCGTTGTTTCACTAGTAAGTGGCTTTCTGAAAGACATGTGAACAATATAGGAGAGCCCAAAGTAAGAAAGGTTTTAAAGCAGGAGTGTCACGTGATAAGACATTTTGAGAAAGGTGTCTAAAGTTTGCTGTGGAGTTCTTGGAGTCTGAAGTAAAGACTATTATAACCACCTTCCTATCGCCAGGGTTTTTAGGGCACTGTGGGGGCTCAGTCAATATCCGTGGAAACATTTGTCACCACTGTTCTGACTCCTGCAGCTGAACTCCATATAAGATGCTTCTATGACATGTGACCTTCTTTCCCGTAAGCATCAAGAGTAGATATTTTACAATCACAATCTAAAGAAAGGAGAAAGCAGAGACAACAAACTGGGGAGAGTCTGATCTATACTGAGATTGCAAAACTCTCTCTTCTGCATGACTCCATATGGTTGTCATTAGATCACAAACCTCCCAGATGCCACTGCCTTACACATCAGACCAGCTGCTGTGACTGACCTTCAGTCTTCCTCTTCTCTCAGCTCTCCCAGCGGGCCAAATATCCCTGCTTCCTCCTGGTGAAGGGCACACTACTTCCCTCAGAAACCTTTAGGAAAGCACACCTTGCGTTGCCTTAGGAGACTGACCATTTTCTCTTCAGATGTAGTATGGAGTCTGTGTTTTCACTTACTCCCTTAGTAAGGTTCTCACCTAAAGGACAATCCCTCTCAGAGTGCCTCTTTCTTGAACTACCTGTCTGCTTCCTCTCCATATGACCTATTGCTTGTCCAAAGGAGTCTCTGACTTGGCATTCACATGGATTTTATCTCTGTTTATTTTACAAATGAGAAGACAAGTATTTTAGAGTTTAAGTAAAAACTAAACTAAATGAGCATGCCTGGTAAATGAAGAACTGAATCTCAAACATCATTTTTCTGACTAAGAATCTTATTTACTACTTGAGGGATTTCCCTTCCACTGCGCTTCTCACAGGTAAAAGCAGGAATTTCCCCTCTGCCTAGTGTCTGGGGCAGTTCCTGTGGCCCAACAAAGAACTTCTCCCTGGGCTGTCAAATAGCCTAAGAGGGCCACACTGGTCATAGATAGTAGTTGCAAGACAGGAGGAAAAGTCAGGATAAGAGGCAGAGACAGATAGCTTAAATATTTGTCAGGTGACTGTGAAGATCCAAAACACTCCAGAAGTGAATAAGAAAAGTCCAGAGATAAGGCTTTAGAGAAGCCACTAAGAGCATACAAGGAGCAGAGCATAGACTGTGGGCAGTAAATCTCCTGAGAATCTAGGGGGGAGGTGATGACACAATGCACCATCACTAAGAAAGACCCCAGTTGATCCACTGAGGAGTGTAGATGGTTCCTCTTTTTATAGATAGTGACCATGGCTTAGTGTGTGCCATTAAAAGACTTTGTGAAATGGAGCTCAAAAGAAGTGTCAAAGAAACATGGAGAAAGATGTGGAACCCATGAGTGTGGGACTCTGTAAGGGTATCTTGATTCATTGTTGGGCATGGGCCTGGAACTTCAAGACTCCAAGGGAGAAACGGCAGGTGTTCGGCTACGTCCCCAGAACCCAGAGTCCTGACACGCAGTCTAGTCTCCAAAGACCTACATTGTTCAGTCACGTAGGCCATTACAGCCCCTCCCAAAGTGCACAGGTAGAGGATGTGACTACAGGCCTCAGGCCCTAAAGAGATTTACATACTAATGAAGGCCAGAGGGCAGAGCCAACTAAACCTTCCCCAGAACCTCCCTCTTTCTCCCTCCCTATTTAACTCAGGTCTGCCCTGAGTTTCAGGGCAGGTACATCCAGATGCATCTACCATCCTCCATGAAAATAAACCCTTTTGGAACCAAGGACTTTCTCGTATCATTGGGGCCTGCCATCGATGATGTCTCCAGCCTCTGGAACCTTAGACTTTTTCCTGTTTGTAGGACCAGCCACGTGGAAAGCCTCCAGGACACCACTGTGGCTTTTTTGCCCACACATCAGTCTATTGAGTCACATGTAAGACCGGCAGGAAGGAGAGGCAGAGACCTCTGCCCAAAGTACTGTGTTGTGCTCCCAGGAGGAGCGGTAGAAAATAAAAGTACAAAAGGGGAGCATCCACAGTGTAGCCTGTGTGGAGAGTTGGGAGTCCTAGGAAGAACAAGTGAAAAACAGATGTTTAGGGGTGCATGTAAGGGGAAGAACAAAATCATTCCTATTGAGAAGACGATCATTGTGATTTTTGTAGTATACTATCCAGAAGCTTTATTAGCAGGCAGCACAATACTAGGGAGCACCCCAAAATTGTAGGGTTCTCTAAGAATGGTGCTCTCTATCTGGGCTTCCCCACCTGTTCTGGGGGACTTCCTGTGTCTATATTTTCAGCCCATTCTCCTTGATAGACTTGAAATAGCTACTCACCATCATCATCATGTCTGGATGTAAGCATATCATATCTTTGCTATCTATGATCTAGCTAGTTTTTATTGTTTACAATACTATGGTAAATACCACGAACTATTTTGAGCCAAAAAATTCTAAAATATTATGATTGCTTCTTTAACTCATTCCTTGTCAAAGCATTTGATTATCCCTCTTCTTCTGTAAAAGTATCTCCTCCCTTCATCCTAACTCCAGTGCTAGTTCTGTGGATTGGAATGCATAACAGGAAAGTTCAAACATGCCAGCAGGGCTCCATCCCTGCTGGCATGAGCATGAGCAACCCACAGTTTTTATTTCCAATCCAGTCGAGTTTATACCATGCAAGAACTCTGCGTCTATCACACTGAGCAGTTTGCCAACCTTGCACTGAATCAGTTCCTTGCTCTCTGTTGCAATGTAATTCTTTCTTAGTAAGATCCCTCATATGATCTCTTGCTCTAATCACCAGACAATGCTAAACTTATGCTTCCAGCCTGTAGTAATATTCTTTTTAATATAATCTATGGCAATTAATAAACCAGACATTTTAAATTATGGGTTCAACGTCAGTTCCTAGTCAACGTACTGAGTAAATTATTGAACAGATGGTGAATGAGCAGCTGGAAAGGAGGTGACAGTTAATATCAGCCAGCTTGTGTTCACTAACTACCAGCATATAAAAGTCATCTAATTTTCCTGCATAATTGAGAACTTAGATTAGAGGCTCAGGGCACTATAGTAAATACATTCGATCTTTACTCTATGGTGTAATTTGGACAATACTTTCATGATCTCCCTGTTAAGCAATAAGATACTTATGAGCTGAATAATAGGACTTATGTGTGCCTATTTAAATAAACGAACAGTAATACTCCCAAGAGGTAACAATGTGCAGCTGGAAGCATTCTCCAGAATCCACAGCTGAGAGAGAAAGCTGCCGTGCAAGCTTTCTCAGTAGTCCTCCCTCCTCCCCACACTTTGTTGTTGTTGATCTTACAGGTTTTGCTTTTGTTGTATTACAATTTAGGATTTTGTGTTTTAAGGGAATTCTCTCTCTCTCTCTCTCTCTCTCTCTCTCTCTCTCTCTCTCTCTCTGTGTGTGTGTGTGTGTGTGTGTGTGTGTGTGTGTGTGTGTGTCTGTCTGTCTGTCTGTCTGTCTGTCTGCATCAGTATGTCTTTGGCTCTTTTTTTCTGTTGGTTGGTTGTCCTATTCTGGTTTGATTGTTTGGTTTTGTAGTTGCCTGTTTGCTTTCTAGTGACGAAGGAAGATAGGGTGTGGATTTGGATGGATAGGGGCTAGGTGGGCAGGACCTGGGAGGAGTTGGGAAAGGGGAAACCATAATCAGAATATATTGTATATAAAATAATCTATCTTCAATGAAAACTAAAATCATCTTAAAAAGTATCACATCATCATGTTTAACCTATCAGTTTCAGAACTCTGAGAATGATACCTAGTACACTGGGTTATAGAATTACAAAATCAAAACCCCAAGTTTCTTAACACAGAAAAATGAGCTAAAACCAACATGTTAAAATCTAACAGGAGTGAGCATGAAGTTAGGAACATGGGTTACAAACTCTAATCCTAGACACACAATTGAGAATGTTCCTCAAACTGCCTTTTCCTAGTTCTTATGAAAAAGTATGATGTGGGGGACTTGAATATGCTTGGCCCAGGGAGTGGCACTATTAGGTGGTGTGGCCTTGTTAGAGTGGGTGTGGCTTTGTTGGAGTGGGTGTGTCACTTTAGGGGTGGGGCTTTGAGATCCACCCCCTAGCTATCTGTGAGACTGTCTTCTGTTTGCCTTCAGAACAAGATGTAGAACTCTCAGCTCCTTCTCCAGCACCATGTCTGCCTACATGCTGCCATGCTTTCTGCCACGATGATAATGGACTGAACCTCTGAATCTGTAAGCCAGCCCCAACTAAATGTTGTCCTTTATAAGAGTTGCTGTGGCCAGGGTTCAACTGCAAACACAGGCTATAACCTGAGCTGACTGGGATCTTGCCCTGAGATCATCACCCCTTAATCTGTTTAGCTCCTTGAACACAAGATTCAGCTCTTTTTAACTTCCTGGTGCCCCTTCATTTCTTGAACCAAACATTTTGTATTTTTTCTTTTGAAGCTTGCTGTGCTTGATCAAAATGCTCTTCATGAGAGTGAACCAGAGAACAAAGTCTATGTTGGGCTTTTCTGAGATTTCCTTTGTTGATGCAATTAATCAAAATCTCTTTACCTTAGCCTTGACTCTTGAGACAATAGCAAAAAACAGCCACATTCTTCACCAAACTATCACAAAAACAGTCTCTAGGCCATATAGTAACATTCATCTCCTCTGAAACTTCTTGGGCCAGGTCTACACAGTTCAAATCACCCTCAACACCAATGTCTTCCATATTCCTAATAGGATGGCCCATTACACCCCACTTAAAGGATTTTACTGCCTTCCAAAGTCCCAAAAGCCACAGTCCTCCAAACAAAAGCATGGTTAGGCCTATCACAGCAATACCTCAGTACCTGGTACCAACTTCTGTCTTAGTTAGGGTTTCACTGACTTGACAGACACCATGACCAAGGCAACTATTATAAAGGCCAACATTTAATTGGGGCTGGCTTACAGGTTCAGAGGTTCACACCATTATCATCATGGTGGGAAGTACAGCAGCATCCAAGCAGGCATGGTGCTGGGGAAGAAGCTGAGAGTTCTACATCTTGTTCTGAAGGCAAGCAAAAAAAGACTGTTTCACAGACAGCTAGGAGGAGGGTCTCAAAACCCTACCCCCAAAGTGACACACTTCCTCCAAGAAGGTCACACCCACTCCAACAAGGCCACACTTCCTAATAGTGCCACACTTCCTGAGCCAAGTATATCCAAACCACTACAGCACATAAACACAGCTATCAGCAGGAATCCTACAGGCCCATGAGAGGACATGATGTATTCAGAAGTCACTATCTGCAGTGATTGGAATAAGAATGGCCCCATAGGATAATGTATTTGAATGCTTGGTCCCCAGCTGGTGGAACTATTTGGGAAGGATTAGGAGGTGTGGCCTTATTAAAGAGGTACGTCACTGATAGGGCTCTGTCGAATGAGCATTCATGGGCACACAAACACTTAGAAAAACCATAGCATAGTGAAAACATGAAATGCTTTTGCTCTGACTATTTGCTTACCAGCTTAGTCAACATCATTATAAACTTTCTCCTGTGCCCTGTCTCTCAGGATCCCACCATTCTCACAGACTTTGCACAAATCACTGCTCACCTGGTGACTTGCTGCCCTTTCTTCAACATCCTCTCCTGTCGAAACTATTCCACTCTGTGTTCTTTTAGACTTTAACCTGTCCTGAATATACAGACACCTATTTATACTTAGTCACACCATGATACTCTCACATATTGACTTTTTCCCTGACACTGACTCCAAGGGTGACTCTATCAATCTGAAGAGCAAGCTGTACTCTACATAAGGACAAAACCACTTTACAGACATAAGTCTTTTGCTCAGCACGGAGCAGCCCTTGTATAGCTCTGGCCTCGGGCTCTCTCATGTTTCTATAAAGCACCCATAGCAACAGTACCATAAAACAATGCTCTTACACCAGCTTTAGAAAATCCATCCAGATGGCAGAGGACAGCCTTGTTGGATGTAAGTGGGAGAAGTGGCCCTTGGGCCTGAGGGGGTTCAATGCCCCAGTGTAGGAGACTGTCAGGGAGGGAAGGCAAGAATGGGTGGGTGGGGGAGTACCCCCATTGAGGGCGGGGAGGGGGGTTGGGATAGGGGGCTCTGGAGGGGAGACCTGGAAAGGGGATAACATTTGAAATGTAAATAAAGAAAATATCCAATAAAAGAAAAACAAGAAAGAAGAAAATCCTTCCATACCTTGTACCAGGTCATCTCTGGACTCTGTACATCACTTTGGCAGCTGAGACTGGGACAATGAATGGAGCCAGTGCTACCAAGAAGTAGGACTTGCTCATCTTGTGCTGAGTTCCCACAGGATATGTTTCTCTGAGGCTTAACTTCTAAGACTATCTTAATACAACAAGCCATATCCTGGGGCCTCCTAAGAGAAAGAGAAGGCCCTGTCAGCACTTGTCTAGATAACAGAAAATTTGAGAATATTTCCAGACTGGGATGATTTGGGGACATACCTAATTCTAGGTCTACAAATATATGACCCGATGCTGTCCATCTGAGGGGCTAATATACGCAGCATGCCTTTGTTCTGCGTATGAGGAGAGTTTCTACTGATCTTCTGTAGTGCACTTCCACTCCGAGGCTTCAGGTACCATTGGACATCAGATAGGTCCTTCTGACTACCACTGCAAGGTTTGTGAGCAGGACCTTGTGTGGGTGACAGTTGACTTATATGGGAGAAATTTTGCTTCTGAAGCTCTTGTAAATCACAAAATAGGACTAAGTTCTCTGCACCCCTCGCAGAATATGTCCACAGAAGGTTTTTGGTGGCACAAGCTGAAAATTATGGCAAATGAAACAACACAGAGAAGCACATTAGAAGGTGGAATTCCCACTTATAGCATGAATATACTCAATATAACAAAGAACTAAGCTGTCTAGTCTATGTGCACTATGTCTGCTTCATAGATGAAAAGGGTTCATGTTCTGATTCCCTCTCTATGGGTTTATGTCTTAATTTGCTAGGAATAATAGAATCATACACTCCTCCTTAGATGTCCCCAAAGAGCACTCAGCTGTGGTCACTAGGATCCCCCAGTAGTATGTTATGTGCTGAAAGGAGCTCTGACCAGAAATTCTCCTCTTCCCCCTTTTAACAGTGAGAAGAGGCTGTGATCTAATAGATCAGCCTGATGTGTCAGCTCGTCTGTCAGTTCAGACTTTGACCACAAGACTCACAGTGTTAACATGCAAAACAAAACCCATACCTGAATGATTAAATCCCGTGGTCTTCTCTCCTGCAACAAACCAAAGAAACATCCAGCCCAAACAGAGCATGGTTCTCCTTTGCTCCGGTCATGGCTTCAGTGACTTCTCATCGCCAGTGTGGAGTGTGCAGAGAGGGAAACCTCTTTCTCTGACATCCTCTTCGCTTATAAAATAGGAAATGGAGAAATCAAAACCTGTGACCAAGTTTCAAGTCACACAGGAAACTCTGAAAGAGCACATCCCACCCAAACGGCCTTCAGAAGCCCAGAAACTGCGTGGGTATTTTCAGAGGCATGAAGCAGCTTCTTCCATCTCTAGCACGTACAAAGGATGCACACCTCAGTCCAGGGTTCCCTGAGGACATCACATGGGCCCTGGTGTATCTTCTAATAACATTTCTTTTTGAGGAATTCTTTTTTTCTTATAATGTTCTCATCTATTGTCAATTTCTATTTTTGGAAAAATAATGTTTTTCCCCCTGAAAAAGATGGACTGGTTTATATAAAAGCGACAGATTCTCCACACTTAGGGAGGCTGATGATTAAGCTCCTATGTATAAAACCTCAGAGTATCTATAAATTATTAAACAGTAGTTTAAAATTATCTATTAGATAAATAGGGGTAAAAGCTTGTGACTTGAAGGTATCACTATGATACTTTAGATGTAACAGGAGAAAGCATGTGTCCTTAAAATTGAAAGTCAGACCTCAGCAGGACTCACAGTATTTGTCTCCTCTGTAGAGAAGGTGACTATGGGAAAATTTACATAATAAGCAATGAGCACTAGGAAGTTGGAAAGTAGAAATTTGATGAACATGTAATTTTAAGCAGAAAATAAAATGTTTATTTATAGAGCACTATTGTCTAATTTGACATTAAAAAGACAAAATTCGGAAGATAGATGTTCTGTGAATGTCAGAAACCACCAAGAAATTGAGGTGATCATCCATTTTCTGTGGCCGCCAAGAGGTGAGTGACTAGAATAAGGGACTAAAGATCTCAGGATGAAGAGAATGAAGAGAAAGTGGGATAAAATGGATAAAATCATAGACAAGAATCGTCTGCTATATGCAATGTCCTAAATGAGAAGATATGAATGAATGACAGCAAATATTAATCACTATTCAAACAGAAGGGCAAGCTGGGTGGTTATGGAGCAGTCAGCTGAAGACAGCTGAATAGTGTAGAGAAACAGAATAGCAGAACATGCTAGAGCAGTGCACATCAGCATCAGTGCACATGAGCAGCAGTGCATATCATCAGCATCAGTGCACAGCAGCATCAGTGCACATCAGCATCATCAGTGCACAGCAGCATCAGTGCACACCATCAGCATCAGTGCACATGAGCAGCAGTGCACATCATCGCCATCAGTGCACATGAGCAGCATCAGTGCACATGAGCAGCATGCTTCAGCAGCAGTGTATATCAGCAGCAGCAGGGCACATCAGCATCAGTGCACCAACAGCAGCACATACCAGCATCAGTAGCTGCAGATCCTCAGCAGGAAGGAAAGGCAACATCATCCTCCTTCAAAAGCTAAGCTACAAAACCCTGGATGAAGACTCAGTACAGCTCACAGGTCTTGCCAAACCTCCAACTTACTTAGGAGTTTTGGGTGAGATAGTGAGTCCTCCTAAGGAAGAGATCAGCAGTGGAAAAGACATCAGTGGTGTTACTTCACTAAATACCAGAAAGCTATAGCTGGATATACCTTAGAAGGAAACCTACTATTTCGGCCTCAGCTATCCAAGAAACATGATCACAAAGAACAAGCATGAGCCACGAAGCCTGGAATCAACTTGGCACCTTCTCTGGATGGGAGATATATCTACACAAGGCATTTATAGAGAATGACTGCCCTCAGGCTTTCCAAGAGATGTAAGGACAAGAGGCTGGCTTTCAGCAGCAAAAGGGATAGGACCTGGGGTTCTCACTGTCTGTACCTAAGAGCTAACCTCATCCCCTCAAGATAACTGTGTAGCCCAATCTCCTCAAGCTTGAAGTCAGTAATTGGAGCCAGTTGTCTACTACAAGGTTCATTGCTGGCAGGACTCTGAAACCCCGGGAAAGGAATTTGACTTCCACAGCCCCATCTCTTCAGCAGGGAATGTCATGCCTCATAACTTGGAAATCACAGAGTCTGGTGTCAAATACAGATTTCTATGATTGTTTTACCTTCAATACACTTGGGGTGTGGAAGAAACTGCCCAGCATATGGACTGTCAGATGTGGCATCTCTGACTCCTGCTGCCCCAAACAGGAAAGTTTCCAACATGAAGACAACTCTGGTGGATGCTGGACATTGGAGTACTTAAAAATTCAGCACTATCCTAAATAGTAGAAAAGATAAGAGCCTTCAAATTCATGTGAAGTTCCTTTTCCTTTCCAACACAGGCTCTGGTGTTAAGAGTTTCTCCAACACATCATGTTTGTGCTACTGGTGCTCCATTTCTTCTTTTTTATTAAACTTTTAGTAGTATTTTAACTTTATTTTTTAAAAGAATTTCAATGTTATTATTTCTGTTCCCCTCATAATTATCTGAATCTACTCAGTCATTATTTCTTTACTTTGCAATTAAATTCATTTTGTTCATTCGAACTTTCCTCTGTTTTTGTGATGTTCTCGTATCTTTTTGCCTTATTCTTCCTCCCTGTCCTTTTCTTCCTTTTCTCCCTCTATTGTCTTATTTTTTCATTTGTTGATTTCACCTTTATCTAAAATAATAATTGGCTGAATAGCATTAACATTGTACCACTTTGTAGCCTATGGTAATTGCTGGTGTTGTAGTTTGTTTCCACTGATTTTAAGAGTATGTGTGAAATTTGCTCTGTTTTGTGTTGTCATTCCTTTAATGGTTTGTTTACTCTTCCTTGAATGGTCCTGAGGAGGTGTCACCTCAGGAGAACCTCAAATAAAAACAGAAGAGCGATCTAAAACAAAATATAAAATGCCTAAACTATAACAGAGAAGCTCAGTAAACATGATTAATTAAGGTAATGTTCCACATACCAGTGATGACACCTCAGTTACTAAATCTAAAGACAGCAGAATGACTGCCATGCTGTGCAAATAATTCAAAGTCAGCGTGTAAAAATTATTAGTTACATTAAAGAGGAAGCAAGCAAGCACCAAAAAGAAATAAAGAAATAAATTCAGGATATAAATAAGAAAGCGAAATTGAAAAAAAAAAGGTGGAGATTGGTAAGTCATCTGGGAAGAAAGTTGAGACTTTGGGAAAATAACCCACAGAAATGAAAAGCTCAGTAAAAGTTTGACAATGGACTTCATAGCCAGTGTCACTATGATGAAGTAGAATTTCAGAGACAGAAGACAAGGACAAGGAAACATGACATGCAGACATCAGTGGAGTAGAAATAAACAGAAATATGAAATACACAATAATATACAGAAAACTATTCACTAACATTTGAGCAAAACAATTGCCAATTACTACATGGAAATGGACATATAAGCCCAAGAAGCATCTAGAACCTAGGCAGACTGAAGAATGATGTCTCCACAACACATGGGAGTCAAAAAGCTGAAGTTAAAAAAGAAACAATATTAGAAGCTGTGAAAGAACAAATGTTGACTTATTACTAAGGCAAATCTATCAGGGAAAAAAATAAATTACACCTCAGTATAAGCCCTGAAGGAAAGTATGTAATGATGTATCACAGTAGTGAGAACAGGTGAGTGGCAACAGAAATAACTGTTTTCAGTGCATTTATCTTGAAACAGGTGAAGAAAGGAAGAAAGCCAAGGGCGAGTGCAGTCAGGATCATGACATGACTACTAAGCCATCATTGTAGATGACATTGTAGAATTAAGACCTATGCTTACACAAGTAGGGGGAACGGAGTGAGACTTGATAATGAAAACACAGGAGAGAATACATTTCATGAGAAGAACAAATAGACAAGAGAGAATTAAGAATAGCATAGGTATTTCCAACTTAGAAAACCAATCAACCTTTAATGTAAAACTGGTAGAAGACAATGAAATCAACAAAAAAGTTAGGAGGAAACAATCTCCTTTCAACAACAACCATAGATGGCAGTGGTTCTAATGTGCTGATTAAATCCCTCAAACTGGCTGAATAGATTAAAGAATATGAGCCTGTTGTTTGTTGTCTACAAGAAACACCCCCCGTTTTAGTTACTGGGTTTGTTGTTGTTTGTTTTGTTATGTTTTACCACTGTGATAAAGCACCGTGACCAATACAACATGTAGAAGAGTTTATTTGAGCCTCTGGTTCCAGAGGGCTAGAGTCTGTGGTAGCAAAGTGAAACTTGATGTCAGGAGCAGAAAGCTGAGGGCTCACATCACGAACTATAAGCACAAAGCATAGAGTGTGAACTGAGAATTGCAGAAATCTTTACATTCTCAATGGCATTCTTCTTCCAACAAGGCTACATCTCCTAAATCTACCATGGCAGCACTATCAACCGAGGAACAAGTATTCAGACATCTGAGTCTATAGGTACATTGGTTAAACCACTTTTCTGGCAAAGGCAGACACAGAATAAAGCTGAGACAATAAAAACCAACATACCAGGCAAATTAAAGCTGAATTCAACAAGAATAGTTATATTTATATCTAACAAATTAGACTCCATGCCATACTGATAGAATATAGAGAAAGTTAACACACATTAATAAACAAAGTGGTCCATCAGGAAAACAGAATTACTATAAATGTCCTGAATTCTGGGGTACCAGATTTCAGTTAAAAAAAAACAAACAATACTGAATACAAACAGATTCACTCAGCTACAAAAACAGAAAACAATTTGGAAATCCCATTTTTAATCAGTACTAGGTCATCCAGACAAAACATCAACAAAGAAACTTGGGCATTAACCTGCACCACAGCTCAAATGGGCTTACTAGACATCTATAAATCCATCTAAAATCTTCAGAATATACAATATTCTCAGCAGTCATAGTAGCTACTACCATTGTTGTACACAGACCAGCCAAGAACAATCCCATTCTGAAAAGTCCACACTTTAAAACCCTTGTCTCCCAATGTCTGTTTTAAAAAGACCACTTGATCTCATTCTACCATTACCCAAACACATCAGGGATTCCAAAGAGACCATCCAAGGGTAGAGTGTCTTATTTGTTGAGCATTGACCAACTTAAACCAACATGGCTGCAGATTCTACTTGTGGCAGTAAAAATGATTGACAGATACCAGTAAACATAGTCACATTTGTCATTCTGTAAAACATGTGTGCTACCTCTCTTGCTTTCCCAGTAGGTAATCAAATCTTGCATCACTCATACCAGCAGTGCCCGATAGTAAACGATAACCACATACCTGTTCAGTAGTAGAAGGGAGAATCATATCTGGATGAAGAGGGTTTCAAAGTTTCTCTTCTTGCCATCACTATACACCCCCTCCACAGAAGGAGATAAGAAGCCAATGAGATGATCTGAAGATCTGAAAGATCTCTTTCCTAAAAGTTTCCAGAAGATTTTCATTTTTTTTTAAAAAAGTCTCTATCTTTTTCTCAGAAGCAGAAAAAGTTATTCTGAAGTCATTAAAAAGATACATGGTTGACCATATTGTAGAGTAACAATGAACTAAGCTTTTCAAAGAACAAAGCATTTGCTGGGAGGAGAAAAATGAAAACCGTGAATGAATTACCAGGAAGACTCTCAGTCCTGTGCATAGCCTTAAAATACAAATAAAAACAAGATGCTACAGAGCAGTCTAACAGTTGGAGTATCCAAACAATACTACGATGATGCTCACATGGTCCATGGTAGCTTGTCCTATGCTTGCCTCCAAAGATGGACAAGTAGTGTGGCCTTTCAAATTTGACCAGCATTTGAATCTCTCTATTTATAATCCTTCAAATAAAGTGTAAGAAGTACTGTACAAAAAAGGTATACTCTGAAACTACTTTTTCAAGTTAAGGTTAAAAACTACACTGAGATACAAGTATTGCTACCTAATACCACATCTGTGATTAAAAATATTCTACAAAAAGCAACTGTTTAGCAATTTACTTTTTAAGTCCTTTAAAAAAATTATTTGGGGTTAAGGAATCTAGCAAAAGAATATTCTGTTCTCTTACTTTTGTTTCCTGCTCTTACATACATAAAAAAATAAAGACCTTCAAGTCTATATGTAGCGAATGCCAGCTTGTGTATCTGAAAAAAAAAAAGTGTGAAAACACCCATTTTCAAAGGGTTCTACTACATTTTTTTTTCTTAGCAAGAGAGTTACTTGGAGAAGATGTAAGGACCATCCAATTCATACAGTTTGGAAATAATGAGTTACACCTGGACAGAAAAGGCCAACCTTAGTATTTGGTAAAGGACTGCTGGCGTTGGAAAATGCCTGGTCATAACAAAGAAAAAATGAAATAAACTACCTTTTTATCCACGGAAGAAAAACCCTGAAATAAAGCATTCAAAGCTGTCCTCTGGCCAACCTCCTTGACAAGAAAGGGCTTGTGGTTAGGTTTAGTTGAAATGGTGAGTAAGCCTGCTTCCTTTACAGGAATTTCCTGTACAGAATGTTAGCATTTGACACGGTTTCTCAACAGGGAAGTTCTTTTCTTATTTCTTCCTCCTCCTCTTTCTCCTCCTCCTTCTAAAACCAGGACTGCCCACCTTGCCTTTCATTTCAAACCTAAAGGCTTTCTTCTGATAAACTCTCTCTCACCAGCATCATGTTTACAGAGCAATAATGTATCAATGAGGAGAGTGAAATAATTGTAACTTTGAAAGGTGCGCAGGCTATTTATCTGCTTGTGCGTCTTGGAATGCCTAATTAAGATCTGCACTGTAATTAAAACACTTCAGAGCACCGTGAGACCACACTAATGACAAAGCCTCTTAATTAAACAGTGCTAGTGTACCTCCTAGCCCCATAAAGATAAAGTTGAAGTAGCTGAGCACAGCAAGGCATGCGGATTATTTCAGTGCAAGACTCCAGAAGAGCAAAAAATACAAACAGAGCCTAAGTTCATGTCAGGGTGGGGGCAAGGTGAGTGTTTACCTGAGGTGAAAGTGGGAATCTAAGAGTAATTAGCAACTGAAAGCAGGACTAAGCCATAAAAAACATGTATCCATGCTAGTTGTGGACCTAGCTCAAATTCCAAAAGGATTCGAGATTTTCCTATAGCCTATTGCAATGTGTAACAGGTTCAGAGGAAAGCACATGAGGGCAGACTCACAGTGTACTGCAGGGACAGCCCCATAATCAAAATCTAGACAGGACTAAAGGAGGGATACCGAGGATGGAGGGTAAAGGACAGAAGAGGTGTTGTTCATGAGAGGCAGTTAATAAATGTTGAGGTACATTCAAGGGGCCCGGGGGTTGGAAATGTCCTTATCAAACTTCAGAGATCCTGACATAGACCTTAAAGTTGAGCCCAAAGTTACTGCCAGCATGGTCTCCTAAAGTGAATTAATCTACAACTCTTCCTCAGAAATTTAACATGTCTTTTTAATCTGTATTTGGAAGAGAAAAGCAGGACATCATGAACCACAGGAGATTTGGGACCAGATGAAGGGCTTAGTCATCACAGGAAACTCAGGCTTTATCACTTGGTACAACCAAACTCGTTGAGGTGCACCCTCATGAGTAGAGAGAGAGCTGACCTGTGGAACAGAGAAGACAATGTAGAAAAATGTAATTGTGTATGGAAATTTTTAAAAATAGGAAAGAGTATCACAGATGAGCTTCGGTATGGGGAGTGTGGTAACTGGGCAGCCCTATGGAAAACTATGCAATGACTCCTGGCACCACACAACAGTGTTCCAAATAGACTAAGAGTTTTTTCCTTAAATTTATATTTATTTTTTAAAACTAGTTTTTAATTTTTACAAACAAGCTGAAGTATAATTACAACATGTTTCCTCTTCCCTTGGCATCACTCTTATCTGATTATGTGAGCCATCCTTGCTCTGTCCTCTCTTAAATACATGGAAACAACCTACTTAGTCTCTTCAGTGCTACCTGTACGTATACAGGTACACGTATACGTACCTGGGCTGACCACTTGTTATTGGGTAACCAGTTAGGCAAAATGATACTTCATTAACTGTTGTACCTGACAGTCAGATAGATGTCATATGATGTCAGAGTATTTATGTGTCAATGATTCTGACTTTATCCAGAAGCTCCTGTGAACAGCAGGATAACTTTTTAAATTAAGTTATTTATTTATTCACTTTGCATCCTGATCTCAGCACTCCACCTCCTTGCCACACTTACAGATCCCTCCCCCTTTTACTCCTTCACCTTCTCCTCAAAGAAAGGGAAGTGGGTACCACCCTGCCCTGGGGACATCTAATGCCAGCAGGACTAAGCACATCTTCTCCCAATTAGGCCCATCCAGGCAGTCCAACCAAGGGAAAGGGATCCAACAGCAGGTAACAGAGTCAGAGACAGTCTCTGCTCTAATTGTTAGGGGAACCCCATGAAGACCAAGCTGCACATCAGCTACAAATGCATAGGCGGCCTAGGTCTAGCCTCTGCATGCTCTTTGGTTGGTGGCTCAGTCTCTGCGAGCCCCCATTGTTCCAGGTTAGTTGACTCTGTAGGTCTTCTTGTGGTGTCCTTGGCCTCTCCAACTCACTCAATCCTATCTCCAACTTTTCCACAAGACTCCCTGAGCTCTGTCTGATGTGTGGCTGTGGGTCTGTGCATCTGTTTCCATTAGCTTCAGTATGACGCCTATCAGAAGACATTTAGGCTAGGTTCCTGTCTGCAAGCATAGCAGAGTATCATTAATAGTGGCAGGGGTTGGCTCTGGCTCTCTCCTATTGGTTAGGTCTCAATTTGGGGAAGTCATTGGTTGGCCTTTCCTTCTGTCTCTACTCCATCTTTATCCTAGTACATCTCGTTGGCAGAAAAGTTTTGGGTCAAAGGTTTGGTGGGTGGTTGATGTCCCCCTCACTCCACTGGAGTTCCCACCTGGCTACAGCAGGTGGCCACGTCAGTTTCCATATCTCCAGCTGATAAGAGTCTAAGCTAGGGTCACCTCCCATAGATTCCCAGGTCTCCAGCTAGTCCCAAAGATGCTCCCCACTGCTTTCCATCTCTCTTCCAGCCACCATACCTGATACTCATCCCCATTCTCCTTCTCACCCCTTCTCCTACTCAGTTCTCTTCATCCATCCACCTCTGATGTCTATTTTGTTTCATCTTCTGAGTGAGATTCAAGCACCCTCCTCTGTGCCCTCCTTGTTACTTAGTTTCTTTGGGTCTGTGGATTGTAGCATGGTTATCCTGCATTTTATGGCTAATATCCACTTATAATTGAGTCCACACCATGATGTCTTTCTAGGTCTGGGTTACCTCATTTAGGAGAATATTCTCTAATTCCTTCCATTTGCCTGCAATATTCATGATGTTCTTGTTTTTAATAGCTGTAGATTCCATTCCATTGTGTAGATGAACCACATTTTCTGTATCCATTCATTTTTGTTTTGTTTTGTTTTTTTGTTTTTCAAGACAGGGTTTCTCTGTGTAGCCCTGACTGTCCTGGAACTCACTCTGTAGACCAGACTGGCCTCGAACTCAGAAATCCACCTGCTTCCACCTCCCAAGTGCTGGGATTAAAGGCGTGCGCCACCACTGCCCGGCTTCTGTGTCCATTCTTAAGCTGAGGGACATCTGGGTTGTTTCCAGTTTCTAGCTGAAAAAAGCTGCTATGAACATAGTTGAGTAAGTGTCCTTGTGGTATAATAGGATATCTTCTGGGTCTATCCTCAAGAGTAGTATAGCTGGGTCTTGGGGTAGAACTACTACCAACTTTCTGAGAAATTATCAAATTGATTTCCAAAGTGGTTGTACAGATTTGCACTCCCACTAGTAATGGAGGAGTATTCCCTTTCCTGTATATCCTAGCCAGCATTGCCGTTACTTGAGTTTTTGATCTTAATCATTCTGACATGTGTAAGATAGAATCTCAGAGTTTTGATTTTCATTTCTCTGTTGACTAAAGATGTTGAACATTTCTTTAAATGCTTCTTGACCATCAGAGATTTCTCTATTGATAGTTCTCTGTATAGCTCCATGCCCCATTTTTTAAATTGGATTATTTGGTTTACTGGTGTCTAATTTCTTGAGTTCTTTATATATTTTGTATATTAATCCTCTGTCAGATAAAGGATCAGTAAAGCTCTCTTCCTATTCTGTAGGCTGTCATTGTGTGTCATTCCTGGTGTCCTTTGCCTTGCAAAAGTTTTTCAGTTTTGTGAGATTCTATTTATTATTTGTTAATCTTAGTGCCTTAATAAAGTTGGGAAATTTTAATCTAAACTGTAGTTTAATCCTTTATGATCTGGATTACATACAAAATACAAAAAAAAAAGTAAAAGGAAAATGATGAACTATGAGCAATATTTGAAACTTACATACACAAATCTTGTCATCTGCAATGTGGAGATTTCTTCCAGCAATGGAAATAAGATTAAACATCTCCACAACAATGTTGACAGAAGGCAAAGGATGGATTCTTATCCATCGCTATTGAGATGGCAGACAGCACAGTCCCTTTGGGGAGAAATAAACCAATATCAAACTAAACCATATGTGTGTTTGCTGACACAGCAAGCCTGCATCTTGGACATGATCTCAAAAACATTCAAGGAAAATATATGAAGATGTCTTTGAATAATATTGTCTTTCATAACTAATAAGAGCAAAATAATGAAGGTCCTTAGGACTGATTGAATAAACTATATAATCTATGTTTTCATGTCTAATTATGGAGTAGTTACTAATATGGTTCCAAAAAATTACACTGAAGTAACTCGCTGTAATCTGTGAATGGCGAGAGATATAAATATCTGTGCAAATTTATTTAGAGTATGGAAAAAATTCAATGCCAGTTTTTAAAGTATTTCCTTTCAGGTACAGAGTAAACAAGAGGTAGAGAGGAATGAGAAATGAATTCTGTATGAACTTTATTTTTTAGGTTTGCAAATATTTTTTCACACAAAGTAAAATGTTAAGAAGCAATCACTAAAAATGAAAACACGAAGAAGGAGCCTAACTATATCGAGTCAACAAAACGCTATCAAAAGATCATTTCATGTGATGTCAGAACACACGTGACTTTATCTTTTAATGAAATATTTCTAAGTGGAAATAATCTTAAAAGTGACAAATTGCTTTTATTAAAAAAAACTGTTGTTTAATATAAGTATTAAAGTTATTCTGAGGTTATTATATATACTGTACATTGAAGAAGACTAATAATTATATTAATATTATCAAACACTAGAGCTCTTGATGCAAAGGTTATGAAAGTAAAGTTAATGACTAAGTAAAACTTGCAGTCTTTAGTGAAATTGTCCTCAGAGTTGATTAAAAATCCCCTCCCCTCTCCCCCCCGCCTCCCTCTTTCCTCCTCCCTCCTCTTTCCTCGCTTCCTCTCCTCCCTCACTCCCCATGTGTCTGTCCTTGCTCTGTCTGATTCAGGAAAACTTGATGATCTAAGACTCAGTAAACCTAAGGCTGGTTCCTCTACCCTGAATGCAGTTTCTCCTGAGCAGCTTCATAGAGAGGTGTCTAAGAAAAGGCCAGAGCAGCTTAAGTCAGCTGCATCTTCTCGTGTCAGGAAACCACAACAACAGAAGAAGGAAATGACTGAAAGTCAGCAGCAATACCAAAGGACTTAAACATCTTGCAAACCTCCCAAGATGGAAGGCTTGAGCGTCCGCAGATTACTGTTAATTTAGAAGATGCTGTACGCAGAAAGCACTCATTTCTTACGATGCGGTGTATCTTATGATACGGCGTAGCATGCACCGTGATGTCAAAACATTAAAATACAGAGTGAAAATAACTCAGGCTGCTGTGGGAGACGGGCTAAGCCTGGGAAGCTATTTACAGTTCTAATCTGATTGCAGATGTTTGAGTATTTGTTGCATATTCCTCCTGCTATGTAGGTTAGAACTGTTTGTAATCAGTGTTTAATAAATAAAAGCATTCAGTTGATTGCCTCCTGCTGCTCTTTTATAACCTACATGTTGATTCCCTTTTGCTCATATTTTATTTTGCTGATTTCATGATGTGAATGGGTTGCCGTCAAAGTGACTACAAAGAGAGACTAGAATTCATATTAGAAAGTGGATGAGCGCCGGGCGGTGGTGGTGCACGCCATTAATCCCAGCGCTTGGGAGGCAGAGGCAGGCGGATTTCTGAGTTCGAGGCCAGCCTGGTCTACAGAGTGAGTTCCAGGACAGCTAGGGCTACAAGAGAAACCCTGTCTCGAAAAACCTAAAAAAAAAAAAAAAAAAAAAAAGTGGATGAGCTACTTGGGCAGGTCATTTGAACGAGATGACCCTTACCTGAAAATACAGTTTGTTTGCACATGTTAAAAACATGGCAGATACCCTGTTCTGAACTACCCCACATCCTGCCTTTTTGTGTTTATAACGCCTGTGTGAATAAGGGGTGTGAATAAGGTCAATGATTTGATTCAAAAATAAATTAAAATAAATTTAAAAAAACCTCACGGCTTACAATGTCCACATGATGGTGGCAGGAGCAGCTGCCTCAATTAACATGGAACTTCTGCTGATTTTCTGGTGGCAGTACTGAGGCTGATCTTAGGACTCTGCCAGCCTGGTGGCATGCCCAGCAAATGATGAAGAGTGTGGAATGTCTAGGCTGCTGCTCAGCTTTTAGACTGTATATCCAGAGGATAGTTTTTACACCTAAACTTTGATCTCTTAGAAGTATTTTCTCTGGCTCTCACTCTGTTAAACTGGCTGGCCTATAGTTCACTATGTAGCTAAGCCTGGCCTCTAGCTTATAGCAATCCTCCCATGTTAGCTTCCCAGGGTACAAATGAGCAGGCTTGGCAGGATTATCTTTCTAAGTAGAATGTTAGTGGAGAATTCAACGTACAAGGCACAGCTGTAGCTTCAGTGGTTTGTGAAGGAGAAAAAGGTGGGGTAAAGTGAAAGTACCTGGAGCCCAAGGTGTGCTCCCCAGATCTGAAACTGCTATTCCAGCATAGTCCCCATGACACCTCTGAAGTACCCAAGGCTCTCATGTAACAGTGCCAAGGCCCACTGACATGTTCACAATCCATTACTGAGTGCACACACCAAGCTGCAGTAATTATATAAGTTAGGAGTGGCATTCTCTGAGTTTATATGTCTCCCACCAGAAACAGGTCTCAAAGAAACCTAGTAGTTGACTGGAAGCTCCCAGCCTGAGCTCTGATTGCTATCACTGTGGCACACAGATGCAGTAGGAAGGGCCCCTGTTCTTCCCACGGAACACACATAGACTATTTCCTATTGGCTCAGTGGCTTGGTCACTCTGAAGAGTCTCGTTCCCCCAGCCCTGGCCCACCGTGCTAGAGATCTCACACACGTCGACATTCCTTCTTGAAAATATGACTTTCCCTAGCTTTTGTCTCCGCTTTAGAGCCATACTTCAGGAGCTGGTGACTCCTGAAATCCTTCCCGCCAGCCCCCACCCACACTGGAGCATTTAAAAACACAATTCACCTTGGCTTTGGACTCCTTTGCTGATGTTCCCATCCCGGCGCCATGGCGGTACCTGCCCCTTCTCACACTGAGTCCCAAGGCAGTCCACCTGGCTTGCCGCTGAGCATCAGTACAGCTCCTCTTCAGTCTTCCCTCCGTGCATCTTGGGGATGTCATATGTAGTCACGCCTCACCTAGGATATGCTTTCATCTGGCTTTGTCTTTTTGCCCCTAGCGGAATGGTCTATAAGGCACCTGAACACCCCCTTGCTCTTCCCTGCTCTGAGCCACGCCTCATGCCCTTAGTGGCCTGAGTGTATGGAGTAACCAACCACACGCAGCTTGTACTTGAGGGCCATTGCACAGGAGGGAACTTATCCTGGTATTATCAACATGGTCAAAAGCCCATGGCTGGGGAGGGCATAGTACCTAGGGTGGGACCAATTATTGTTACCTTGCTAAATGCTGATATTGTCAAAACGCCTTCTAAGTATCTATGTTTATGCCTACAGACCTGGGCTGCTCTCAACCTTGATTTAAGAACACTTTCGGGTTTGTTTTGGTTTGGTTTGTTTTGGTTTGTTTTGTTTTGGTTTGGTTTGGTTTGGTTTGGTTTGGTTTGGTTTGGTTTGGTTTGGTTTGGTTTTGGTTTTTTTTTTTCAGTGAGTGGCAGTCAATGTTAAGAAAAAGGATCAAAGTTCTGAGAATCTGAGTGCTCAGCCCAATATAAGACATTTTTGTTAGCTCTGCACTTCCTCCTCCCAAAGCTCGGGGGACATCCTGGAAGAGGAGGCAGGAAGAATGTAAGAGCTGGAGGATGCACAGCAGCACAAGACCAAATCAGCCAACACTGCAGCATCGATGGAAAAGATGTCACGAGGATTCTAGCGCTAACTGTCGGCAGATGATAGCTGCTTCGGGAGATAGAGTCGGTCTTCTGTGGAGAAGTGGTGCCTAATTAGCGTGTGCATGTTCTGGTGGATGACCTTAGCCACATCTACAGGAGACACTAACTGGACTTAGGTTATTTCAAAACTGAGGGCGATAGTTACATGTTGGGGAGCAGGGGAAGGTGTGGGGAGAGAGTGGGTGTCGATACGGTATTTCATTGTATACAAATATGAGGTTCTCAAAGAATAAGTTTTTCAAAAATATACACACAGCATGACAGGCATTTAAAAACAATAGCTGTAGGTGTAAGTGTTAAATTTCCCTCGTCTCCTTAAAAGAAGTGAGAATCTATGTTGAAAGCCAGGCAGTGCAGTCTTCACCAAAATAAACGAAAACGGTGTCAAGAAGTCTTAGGGTAAATGCAAAGACATCAAGAGACATTTTCAGTCTAACGTATGTATTTGGCAGATTTAATGCAAAATATATTTCATATAAAATAAGCTTCATATTTCAAAGTTTGGGTGATAAAGAACAAAGCAAGTTTCAAACTCTCTTCTGATTCTAGGTTTTCACACACAGGACATAAGATGTTGAATGAATTTACCTTTTTTCTCAGCCAGTCAAACAGTACATGAAGTCAGAAGCTACAAAAATTACTTGAGAATCCTCATTCTTCTTGTTTTTCTGTCTTGTTTTGTTTTCGTTTTCCCAAAATCTACTATATCTGTTCAGAATAGTCTCTGCTCGAGACTTTCCTAGACTATTTCTGCTTCACCCAGGCATTTGCAAACTCACAGCCAGCTTTGGGCTTCTCCGAATCTTCTTTTCCATGCAAGGTCAGCATACACACACACACACACACACACACACACACACACACACACAGAGGCAGTTCCCACAGACAGCTACTGTTCTGAACCATGGAGAAGGCCCCAGTGTGACAACTCCCTTTAGAGAAACAAGTGTCTTCCAGGGCCCAGAGATGTATGTATATTTCAGCAGGAGGTGTTTTGTGTGTGTTTGTGTATGTATATTTGTGTGTTTGTGTGTGTGTTTGTGTATGTGTGTTTGTGTTTATGTGTGTGTTTGTATATGTTTGTGTGTTTGTGTACATACGTGTGTGTTTGTGTATGTATGTTTGTGTGTATTTGTGTGTGTATGTTTGTGTGTTTCCTCTGCTGTGAGGTCTCTCCTCTGTCCTTTCCATTTGCTGCTATCCATTTGCAGATCTGTTTCCCTGCCTGCTCTCTAGCTCCCATGTGCTCTACTGTGGAATCACTGAGCCAACCAATGAGGGCAATTACTGCCATCAACAGTAAGAGCCCCATTTACAGAGCAGTCTTTAGTCCCCTTGTGAAGTAGGTGTGTTGACTTTAAACTCTAATTTTAGAGATGAGTAAACTGAAGTATGAGAAGTTGAATAAAATTCCAGAGCTCACAATGGAAGCAGCAAACCCAAGATTGTCCATCAAATTTGACTGCACCTACCACACCGTCAACCACCACACAGAAACTGCCTGCATGCCAAGGGCATCTGAAATGGCTTGTAAAAACAACAAGCGGTTGTTGGTTGTTTGTTACAGCTTAGCATCTTATACGATCCTACAGATAACCTTCTACATAAAGCCAACCAAAGCTTTAAGCCACTAAAGTTGAAAGGCCCACTGAGTTCTCTGAATTTAAATTTCTATCTGCCGCGAATGATATCAAGGGTTCCATTTCAAAGGTCTTATGAAAAAAATTAAGAAATAAGCAAGTTCTGCCTTACATCTGACTGAGTTTCTAAGAACTACCATTCAACACTAAACTCATTCTGAAACCAAGTTCCTGGAGCTTTCTCTCATTCCATTTGTCATCTGTACCCAGCTCTTTCTCTCACCTCTTGCACCTCCCAAGCCTGGGAGAGAGCCATGTACCCTTGAGATGCAGCAAAGACTGGTTCATAGAAAATGCCTCTGAGCATGTAAAATCCTCCAGTTCGAATCCATTGTTAGTTGAAAAATCCTGAAGAGATAGATGCCTTATTTGGGGACATAAATCAGTATGCCTGTTTACCTTCATCTTTGCTGAATGGGACGGTGTGCAGACAGCTCTAGGGCAGTGGTTGTCAACTTTCCTAATGCTTTGACCCTTTAATACAGTTCTTCATGTTGTGACACCCAACCATAAAATTATTGTCATTGCTACTTCATCAGCTGTGATTTGGCTACTGTTATGAATCAGAGCATAAATCTTTTTGGAGACAGAGGTTTGACAAAGAGGACACAACCCACAGGTTGAGAACCAGTGCTCTAGGGGAAGGAAGAATAACAAACTGATTTCTCATGAATCCCAAGGTCTTCTGGGAGTTCTGGATTCAAGGTTCTGTTTCATCTGTGATGACCCAATGACAAATCTTGTACCTGGGAGTGGGAGGGATAGTCACAAAATTCAGTCTTTTGAACCACAAGCCACCACTGTGAGTAGGCACACACATGACCTCTAACAGGGTTTCACTTCCTTTTAACATCGAGCTTATTGGAGCTCAAGGTGCTGAGAGAACTGGCCGGGCCTCCGATTCCTCTCTCCATGGCTTGAAGGCTTTTGCAGGCATCAGATAAAGAAGATTCTTCCAGAACCGTGAGTTTGAAGAGAGTGGCTTGTCAGCCTTCCATTTCAAAACTCTGTAGGACTTCAGGAGTTTCAGCGACGGGGGAAGAAAGGTGACGTTGCTGGCTGGAGTAAACTCAATTACGATTATTTTAATCTTTCTCTCCACCAGTGCTTCGTGGAGTCCACTCTCGAGTTCAAGCCTGGTTCCATTAGTCAGGTAACTCTCGCTGAGGACGATGATTAGCCTCCGGCTTTTCTCTATCAGTGAATGGATCTCATCAACAACAGCTAGAAGGGCAAGATTTGCATCAGTTCAGAGAACTAAATGGTGGACACAGGGGAATGCTCTTGCTTTACGGTTTTTAACTTTTGGCTGCACTACCAAGATTTTCTTTAAACATAAGACATTTTTATCTGTTTTAGACACTGAGCAAAATAGTCATCTGAATCACTATAAAGGTGAGTGCTCACTAAGCCCTTAAGCCTTCTTTAAAGCTTTGTGTGTATTGATTCATTTCTCCCCTACAGCAACCTCATAGGAAGGCACTGTTACCCCCATTTTGCCAAAGCACAGAACAATGAAAAACTTTCCTGCAGCCACGCAACTGAGTCACAGAGAGACAACCCAGGAGAAATACATTTTTATCATCACCGACTTGTTCTTCATTTATACAGGAAGGTCAAAGATTTAAAACAATACCCTAAGCTGACCCAAAACACCATTATTTTAGACCAGAGGTGGGTTTTCCCTAAACAGTTGGGTAGTAAACACTTCAGGCGCACTCTTGCTTCCGATCCAGCAGCGCACAGAGATACTGCACAGAGATACAGACCGTACATGGCTGTGGTTAGGTAAACATGGCTAGCCATACTCCCAAGCCTTGCTCTGGACCCCAGAGAGTTCAACCAAGCCTAGTGATAATTCCGCGTACCCAAAATGAAAACTTAATTTTTTTTAAACTAGGAACTCAGAAGGAATCAAAGGAAATAAAATAAAGTGGTAATAAAATATAGATCCATACTTTAAAAATAACGATGGACCTTCTGGATACCGAGCACACCAGCATGGCCTGCATCTCACCAGCAGTACTGCACCTTGTAAGAAGTGGTTTACCTCCAATCAGTACTGAACTTATGCTTTGCCTTTAGCGGCATTTTCCCTTTCTGATTTGTGCCATGAGGAGAACATAAAGCTATTTCCTATTTACTGCTGCCTCTTCTTTCTGGCTTAATTTATTACAGGTGTGGCACATAATAAATTCGGGATGAATGGATTACGGTAACAGTGACCACTGTGCTTTTCTTTTCTCTTCCTCCTCCTCCTCTTCTCCTTCTTCTTTCTCCTCCTCCGCCAACTTCTCTTCTGCCACCTTCTTCTCCCAGTTCTCTTGCCCCTCCTCCTCCACCTCCTTCTCTTCCTCTTCCTCCTTCTCCTCCTCTGCATCTTCCTCTCCTTTTTTCTCCTCTTCCTTCTCTTCCTCCTCCTTCTCCTACTTCTCTACTTCTGCTACCTTCTTCTCTTTCCTCTCTTCCACATTTCCCTCCTTCTTCTTCTCTTCCTCCTTCCTTCTCCTTATGCCTCTTCTTCCTTCTCTTCTTCCTCACTTTCTCTTCCTCCTCCTTCTCCTCCTCCTCCTTCCTCTCTTCCTCCTTCTCCTTTTTCCTCTCTTCCTGCTACTTCTCCTCCTTCTTCTCTTCCTTCTTCTACTTCCTTCCTCTCTTCCTCTTTCTCCTTTCATTCTTCCTCCTTCTCCTCCTCCTTCCTCTCTTCCTCCTCCTTCCTCTCTTCCTTCTTCTCATTCCCCTTCTCTTTATCTTCCTCTTTCTCCCTTCCCTCCTTCCCCTCCTCTTCCTCATTAGTTAATTTACTTAACATGCATATGTGCTATGCCTTCATGTGTGTATGTGCTCACAGAGGTCAGAGTTTGACCTTGAGTGCCTTCCTGGCTTGCCTTCCATGTGGCTTTTTGAGGCAGGGTCTCAGAAAGAGAAATGGCTGTACCTTTCCATAGGTGTCTGACCTGTGATACAGAGTGCAGGAGTCAATGTGGAAGGGCTGGAGTTATTTTCTCAATATTTATTACTGTGTGATAATGAAACGTTGGTTAACCAGACTGACCTGGTTAACTAATAACTAGTCAAAAGCTGATCCAATTTCTCTTGGCTTAACGGGCTTTAGCCATATGTACCTCTTAAAGGTAAAAAGACAAACAATCATCTCCTTACAAGAATTATCTTCATTAACTGTTTATCTAGGATTCCCTTTCTTACCTCCGCCAGGCACCACATCTCTTTCAAATATGCATAACTTATACCCATACTGCTTCTCCAGAACCCTGGGTAATGTCTCCACAGCAAAAGTGTACTCTTCTCCGTGCTCAGGATGACACTCTTTCAGGTAAGACACAAAGGCATCATATGTTTTACCATCTAGGAGACAAGGTGGACTCTTTTAATTTGTGATTATGAGAAAAAATTTTAAATAAAAGCCTGTGTGAAAGACATACAAAGAGAACAGAATTTTTGATTGTCAAATCTTAGATTCACACCAAGCAACCAGTGATCTAAATATCTTTTTAAAGCTTCTTCTTTAGGACTTCTACCAGAAAGAGAGGAGGGGAGGCAGAGAGAGAGAGAGAGAGAGAGAGAGAGAGAGAGAGAGAGAGAGAGAGAGAGAGAGAGAATCATGACACTAAGGCATATATAGGGAACCACCTCGATCATTCCAGGATTGGGAAGTAAGTTACTTCTTCACTCATTCACTTCAGTCAACTGTACCACACCACTACCGGAGGCTTTACTCTCTAAAGGCCTTTAGGACATAATGTCAAGACAAAGAAACATAAAGTAAAAAGATGCAAATCAAACTGAGACTGTATCTCAGATCACGGAAGAGATAACATGGGTACTTGGAACAAGATGCTAGCAACAATGGACAAAGAAGCCATGGATTTAAAGGAGAGCATTGAGAAGCATGTGGGAGGCATGAAGTTGTAATTATATTATAATCAAACACAGACACACACACACACCTAGGATATCAAATATCAAGAGGAAAACCTATGATCCCCTGAAAGCTTGTCAGTGAAACTCGAGTGGGCTCCCATTGAATTCTTGATAATGGAGCAGTAGTTAGATGTCTTGAAGAATGAAGAGGAAAACATGTCACCTAACTAACAAAGACAATTCATTCTCTCCACCGGGTGAGTAGATGTGTACATGATTCTCCTTTTGGTTTCATGCAGTCTATTGAAGAGACGCATACAACTTGACAGGACTGAACAGAAACACATTCACAGATGAAAACAACCTATGACTCAGACAAAGATAAACAAGATAGTTTGGCCAGTTAAAGAGGAGCAACCTCAATGGTCCTGCTTTCCCAACAACAGAAGTTTGAGTGATGTCCTCCGTTATGTAAGTAGTGTAGATGGGGCAGCAGGGTGATGGTAGTGGAATTGTTTTTATCACACAAAAACTTAGTAGATGGCCAAGGAGCTAGATCTGCACCAACTGAATGGAACGGTAAACATATTTGAGTCTTTTATCAAAATAAGATGGGATGGGACAACTCTGGGTGTATTCTTTCATATGCCATACTCTCTATAACCAATGTCCAAGCCCTATTTCTTCACAGTCAAGTTCAAAAATCAATGCTTTTTCTATCTGGTAAAAGCTTGTTCAGTTCTTCTCAAAGTATGCTGTTCAGCCAATTTGTTAGGACCAATTGCTAATACGAAGCAATTGGTTTAGCCGAATTGCATGTGTAAGAAAACTTTGGTAAAGATTACAGAATCATATGCTCACCAAATGTAGGAATGATGAGTGATAATAAAACTAGTTGGTAGTGTAAACAGTAAACAATAACTACTGCCTCTGGTTGATGCTTTTAGATGGCTGTGAACTATAGCTATTGTCCAGGCAATGAAAAAATGAGCTTTTGTAAATGCTTTTATCAATTCAGTGGCAAAAATAGGCAGCAACAGGTCAATAAAGGGTCACACATTTCTCGCAGTCAAGATATAACTGACCATGGGAAACAAGGAAGGTGATCCCATGTGTATCTATAGCACATGTAACATGCCTTTGTTTTTATGCATGAAGAACTAGTTTCCAACAAGTTTCCTATTTCAAGTAATTATTTTTATGATATAAACCAGCTCATTTTTATCAAAATTTATTTTTAAATGTGGATAGTGAGAGATTTGGGAGAAAAATCTGATTTTCTGATGACTAATAATACTTTTGATCTCTAATTAATGATATAAATGATCATTATATAGATGATCATTTAGGATAATAATGAGTTAGGAACCAATGTTTCTCCAACTGTGAGCATCAATTGACGATATTTTAGTAGTGGCCTGTTGGTTCTTTTCATGTTCTGTCAAAATACAGAGCATACTTGTTGACTACAAAATTTAGTTCCCAGACATATCTTCGTTTCCGCCCTTGCCACAGACTGCACCTGTTCATGGAATTCACTCTGAGTGGAATTTCTTAGAGCATGTTCCTGAATGCTTCTGCACTCTGCTGTATTAACTGTGATAAGGGTGAGTTGATGAAAAATGACTGGGGCTAAAAAGATGGCTGAGTGTGTGTGAGTTCTTGTCTCTTTGCTAAAAACTTGGGTTCAGTTCCCAGCATCCACATGATAACCAACCATCAGTGGCTTCAGTTCCAATTGGATGCCCTCTTCTGCCTTCTGCAGGATCTTGCACACATGTGGTATACAAATACACACTCAGGCACACACACATATAAAATAAAATCAATGTCTAAATGATTTTCAGAAAACAAAAACAAAACATATATGTAAGTTGGGTCGAACAAAATTGACAAAGGGAAAATGTTATGAAAACTCAGGAGAAAGGTTATTTGATGCCCATTTAAATACAAATATTACCATTTCTGAGCAGAGACCATGGAGAAAAAGCCATATACAGACTTTTTACTTCACTGTCTCATATCCTTTCAAAGGAAGATCACATACATACAGGCTGAGAGTCATATTCCCTGAGCCTTCTAGCTGTTACTATTAAAAGTTGCAAACAAAAAATGATGATGCAGTTCTATTATACTATAATAAAAACATAATACGTTTTAAAATTCTCAGAGAAGTGTATTCAAGAATCACTTCCTATCATGTGGTTAAGGAGTCCCTCTCTCTTATAACCCCAAAATTGGATACCATAAAAGAAAAGGTATACTTGGGTCTCCCACACAACCACACCAGAGCAAGCAAAGGTAAATGATGACATGGGGTATTTAACTTTCTCAATATAGATACTAAGGGAACCTCACCTAATATATAGATAGTGCCTGGAAATAAGACAAAACAGAAAGCCCAGTGCCAGAATAGACCAAGAGTGGATATGTTGAAAAGGAAGACACACACACAAAAAAAACAAATATATGAAAGGTTGCTTGGGTTCTTAACATCATAAAATGAAATACAAATTAACTCTACTCAGCTTCAAGTCTTTGTCTATTAAATGGACAGATATCCAAGAGTGTGTGGGTGAGGGTATAAGGAAAGTCAATGCCATCCTTTGTTGTTAGTGTGTAAACTTTCAGGAAGGAAGGCAATGGGACAACACTCGTCAAAGCCTCCTTGGCATTAGCAGACATCACTGTGGAGAGCGTCCCTGTGGTAATACAGCATGAATAGGAAGCAATGGATGGATGACTTCATTCAGCACAGCATCTCTGTAATAGCAAAGAGGCAAGAGCACAAACACCCACCCATCTGAAGGGGAGGACATAAAGAGTGGTGTTTACACAGAAGCAAGTTACTGAGGGCGTCGGTGTGGGGACACACACCTGTAACCCCAGTGCTTCAGAGATAGGGGCAAGATGATACATAACCATGGGGAGGCCAGCCTGGGCAACATGAGACTCTGTCTCAAAGACAGGCAGACAAACAGGCAGGCAGACAGACAGACAGACAGATAGACAGACAGACAGACAGACTGATGGATAGATAGATAAACAGATAGACAGACATGAAAGGAGGGCCTGACCAAACCTGAAAGATGAGGGATTCCTTCAATAACACGGACAGAAACATAAATCATAAAGCAAAAAACAAAAATAATAAAGTAGGGTAACTAAATCAAGACTTGTTTTTTAAAGGCAGTGTGAAATAAAAATCCACATTAATAACTCACTGGATGTAATAGCAGGTAGGGACATTTTGGGAATTAGAGACATGGACAAGTCAGGGAAGGTCTCCTGTTGTATATTTACAAATTTTGAATTTGACCTCTATGAAGTTTCTTTTTCTATTAAACACACACACCAGAATCAGGTTAACTGTTTCAAAGCATAATAATCTCGAAATCTGAAGATTTTCAGTCACTTTAAAAAAAAACATGAAGAAGCATAGGCCCTTAGACAAGATAACCACCAAGAGCTGACAGATCCAGGAGACTGAAACTGAGGTGACTTTCTTTCTCCCTCGCATTCCTCCAGGTACATCATTGGCCTCCTTTTCCCAGTCCAAAGGATGAAAAGGATGACAGAAAATTCAATGAAAACAAACTTTCTTGGGTATAAAATGGTGTCTAGAGTGTGTAGTTTATATATATGTAAACACATGTGGACTGACAGCACAAGACATGTGAGGAGACAGTTCACAGACATGAAACATCAGAAGAAACACACATGAAAAGTCACAAACAAGTATAGGATTGCACATTGCCCATCTCAGTGTAACCCACACAGCATAATCCCCGACTCCAGGCTGGGAACCAGCTTTCCAGATTTTTAGAGACGTCATCCAAATAAAACGAAGACCAGTGTTTCCTTTACTGGGTGCAGACACAAAATCATGAGCTACAGTGTCCCTGTCACGGCAGCATATTACCTGTTAGCGTCTCGTCTCTTTCCGCTATGCGTCTATAGAACAGAACCAAGTCAACTTTATAAATGATGCACAAAATCACCATGCACACTGCTGCCACAGAGGTGAGAACAACCACGGCTATTCCTCTGGTAAAGACATGGCCTGGGATATCTGGTGTTTCTGCAGAAAAACGAGAGAGAAAGAGATATCATGAATCAAAGGCAGGTAGCCAGCATTCCCCACCATCGTGTTGTAGCAGGCAGTTCTTGCCCTTCACTCTGACTCAGGTATCTGTCTCTCCACATGCTTCCACATTCCCCCTAGCTCCCCACCCTCCTGATGGTTGTCTACGGTGGGAAATCTTTTCACTCCAACTTGTAAATGAGTGCAAGGATGTCCAAAGACTCAAAGTAGTAGCACGGCCACCCAGGCCATCTGCATCTGTGGAATTTAGATTCCTGAAGCAGTAACATGCTAGGGTTGAGCACAAAGGACTAGATCAAGAATCCCTGTATGTTGTCTTCAAGGAAGGCACACTGAAGAGAGAAAATCGGGGTTTCCTATATGACTGCATCAATTGGTTTGTGTTTTAGGAAAAGATCCTTGAGGCTTCCAATCCGTAGTATCTTCATGTGAAAAGGAAAAATAATAAATGAGCCTCCTGCTTAGCTTATGGTTGTTGATGAACAAGACACTCCACAGAACATGTAGCGAAGCCTGACACACAGCATTTTAGGTTCTGACAAAATTCTAGGCAGTATACTAATCAAAACAAAGAGCCATGTCCCCCAGATTGATTCAGTTTGTATTCACCATAGAGAAAACAAAAGAGCGAAGAGGGGGTTAAAATAAAAAAAATAATAATAATTCTTAGTAGCCATCCAAGAAAGTGGTGATAGCCAAACAGTGTCAAAGCCTTCTGGGGAGGCAGGAGAGATGATTCAGTCATTAAGAGGTCCAGGGTTTGGTTCTCAGCATCTACTTGAAGGCTCACAACCATCTGTAACTTCAGTTCTAGGGGATATCTGACTCTCTCTTCTAGCTTCTGTGGACACCAGGCTCAAATGTGATATACATGTTTACCACTCATACCCAGAAAAATATATAAATAAAGCCTTTTAACCCCAATATTTTTATTTAATTGAGATTAAATGTTGATCACATTTTATTTCCTCCTTTGCCCAACAACATTTTATTGATTCACAGTATGTTAGTCTTCATAATGATTCTAATTTCTTGTAAGCTTACACAACACTGCAGCAACCTACCTAAGCATTATAGTTTTCCTTTCCTTTTGCTTATTCTCCAAGAAGAAATGCTAATGGTGTGGGGATTTCCACATTAAACAGTATAAGCCTCACTGAAGTTTTTACCCTCCTACCTGACACACTTTTAAGAAATAAATCTTTCCAGTAAAATCAGTCATTCCATTAAGTAAACAATTCCATATATTTAATAAGCAGACTCTTAGAGGTCATACTCTGGGGTTCCCACATCTTTGAGAGCGATCTATGAATTCCTGATGCGACAGAAACAGGATGATCCCATTTCCCAGGTGACACATGGGAACCGAGAGGAGCAATGAGAGACGGAAGCTCTGAGGATGCTAGAGGTGTTGAGCTGGTACTGAGTGGTACCCAGGAAATACAAATGGCATCAGATAACTGAAGAAGCAGACTAGCATGCTTCTGTTTCACAAGTGCACAGACCATATAACTGATGCTCACGTGACAAGAGAGGAAGATGGAGGTACTCCCTGTGGGAGGGAAGCTCGTGGAACTAGACCTATAAGCTGAGACTTTTATCACCTAGCTCTGTGACCTGGGATGGGACTCTTCACCTATGAAAGCTTGTAGTTGAGACTGGCTGAAGTCACAGAGAGAGCCAGCACAGAGCCTGTCAAGAAGAGCAATGTGTCTCATACCTTTTCTCACCAAGACGAAGCTTTTGGTGTCCGTGGCTTCTTCATTGGCCACGGTGCAATTATATAAAACATTAAGATATTTTTCAGTAATTTTCTGAATTCTCAGTATTTTTGAAGCATACAGTTTGCCTTCAGAAGTCCTGTAATGTAAGAAGATAATTTAGCAACAGGCTTTGTTCGTGAGTCATAAAGTCAGCTCAGGAGATGGGAATTTATATGTTTAAAATATTGAAAGGAAGCTTCGGCCGTGTTTCTGTTTCTGGTGTGAGTTAAAATTAAGCTTCCCACCGGGCGGTGGTGGCGCACGCCTTCAATCCCAGCACTTGGGAGGCAGAGGCAGGCAGATTTCTGAGTTCGAGAGTTCGAGGCTAGCCTGGTCTACAGAGTGAGTTCCAGGACAGCCAGGGCTACACAGAGAAGCCCTGTCTCAAAAAAACAAACAAAAAAAATAATAATAATAAATAAAATAAAATTAAGTTTCCCAAGTCCTCAAGGAAGCAACAGACTTCACAGAAAGGCATACTTCCCCTCCTTTGTTTTTCTGTTTCTCCCTCCTAATGACTTGGAATGCATTCAACACCATCACTCCTACTAACTGTGGCCAGACAGCTCTGCAGTCTGCTCTTTCATTGCTATAAGTGAATCTTGGGCAGCCAGGGTCTACACAGAAAAGATGCTGTTTAGCTTACAGTCAAAAGGCATAGCACATGCTCTAGGAGGACCCCTGAGCTACATCATATCATGGCAGCAGCATCTGTGGACTTATTATGGTCTTTCTCTTCCATGCTTTAAAGCCATCGGAATTCAAACATAGGGACTCCACTCTTGTGACGATTTGAATAAGATAAATTTTTCTATAACCCCAACAGGCTTACAGATTTGAATAATTGGTCTCCAGGGAGTGGCACTGTTTGAAAGGACTGTAGCCTTGTGAAAGGAAGTGTGTCATTGGGAGTAGGCTTTTAGGTTTCGAAGAGTCCTTTCCAAGCCCAGAGTCTAGCTCTTCCTGTTCCCAGCAGATGCCAGCAGATGTAGAATTCTCAGCTCTCTCTCCAGTACCACATCTCCCTGTATCTCCCATGCTCCCTGACAAGAGGATAATGGACTAAACCTTTGAAATTGTAAGCAAGCCCCAATTAAATGCCTCTTTAAAAAAAATGAGTTGGCATGGTCATGATGTCTCTTCACAGCAATAGAACCCTGACCAACACAACTACTCAATTCAGTCAAGCCGCATTTCAAAGGCCTCACCTTCTTAAGGGCTGAGTGGGTTTATTCTTCCATTCTCTACACATTCAAAAGACAATGGCAAATCAGACTCCTGTAGGAGTGTAGGAGATGACAAATCCCATCAAAGCTGCATCAGCTGGATATTCTCCATGGTTAAGAGAATGGACTGTTCTTGCAGAAGACCTGACTTTGAGTTCCTATGTCATTTTTGCTTTTGCAGCACATTATAAAAATACTTGAGATTGTTCTCAAAATCCAAGAAACCATGGCACCCTTTGATGGCTCTCTTATGAGGAGCTTGGTGACAACCCTCCCCCCCAGACTCTGATTAAGTGGTGCCTTTATAAAATGATGCTAAAAACGCTCATTAACATTGTCAGAAAACTTCTTTCTTCAAGTTTAGATATGTGCAGCACATTTCTTCATGATCGGAACATAGTATGAAGATGATAAGCAAATTACAATTGCAGTTGAAGCTGACTTAAACATCCCATCAGCCATCCAGGAGCCCAGCCTCTCTTCTGCTCTGCACATGTGAGTTTTATATCATGCACCGTGGCATCTCTCACATGTCACACGTACATACCACGCTGTCTCGGTCCTGTCTTCTTGCACGTTAGGGTCTGAGTTGTCCTCTTTCCTGATGCTCCAATAAAACAGATCATTTGTATTCAGTAAAGCACTGCAGTTCAGCTCCACATCTTTTCCTAGGTAGAAGTCGACAGTCTTGGTTTTGAATTTAGAAACTCGGTAGAAGTTTCAAATACAGTCGGTGTGTGGTTAATGTGGTTAACGTTAAATAGCACCACATTCAGAAAAAAAAATTGAAGAGGTACTTCATTTTACATTTTTAAAAATTACAATAATGGAGAATTATGTAGCAACAACTAGCCATCACCAAGTAATTAACTGACTTCTAAGTAAATATTCATATTTACTTCAGTTACTAAAATGTAGGGGGTCAGTGGACTTTCCAATCTTCAAATGAGTAGACAGTGCCAAACCAACGTTTCTCTTAAACTACCAGAAAAACAAGATAGGTATACTGTACAAACCAATTACTTAAAATAAGAAAGGCATTGTCACACAGGGGAAAGAACAAGAAACGGTGAACTGAAAGTGTAGCTAGGGAAGCTCTCTTCCAGGTAAGTAAACATGAGCAGCCATTTTATTTGTAAGGAGTACCTTGGAGTCGAAATAAGCAGGAGTCTCATAAAGCAGAGATTCCAGTTCTGTGGGGTATGGGGGCAGCTGCACAGCTCTCGGGAATAGCAGTAAGGGCTCGGATAGCAAGAGACTACAGAGAGTTCTCGCACATGTTTCCAGTGGGACCATAGGAGAGCAAGTGTTGTTTAGCCAGGATGTAAAGGATTCATTACAGCCAATAAATTTGTGTGTTCTTGATTATATGGGTCAATTAGATAGGTATATGAATTAAGCATTGGCTGGAAATAAGACATGAGGAAACTTATTTTAAAGCAATTCTTTGTTGTACACATAATTTTACCATTTTTATTAAAGATAAAAGCAAACCTGTATGCTAATGAGATGTTGCTTGGTTTTTTTTTTATGTAAAGAATTAAACATTGGCTGAATAATTGGTAATTCATGATCTGGAACATCTTCAATGTTACTTCGAAATGTTCAAATCTTGATTTTATAATCATCAACGCTGAGACAACTTTACATAAATATGTAATACAAAATGTCAGAAATTAATTTAAGAACCTTTCAGAAAGTCTATCCTGATCCTGAACCAAAATTTCTCCAACAATTTAAAAAAAAATAAAATAAAATTCAAATCTGCAGCTCAAACAGTCAATTTCAAGGAGAAACACTCTTTAGCACAATACAATCCAAGGGTTTACTAATTTGACTCAAACTCAGGAATGACAGGAGGGAAACACTAAAGGTTTTTGTTTTGGGGTTTTTTTTGTTTTGTTTCTGTAATTAAACCATTGTGCTTCTATAAGACAAGTCTTTATATGTACAGTAAAGAGTGAACCTTCTAATTCACACATGTCTTGACCCTGGGAATGAGGTGTTCAGTCCTCTCCCATGGTGGTGCACAGGAGGAAGGCATGCCTGGTGCACAGTGTGCATGTGTGTATGTGTTCATGTGTGCATGTATGCATGTGTGCATGTGTGTTCAGAACAGAGCACGCAGTGAGGTTGTACAAGTCAGCTCCAGTGACTGCTCCTAGAAACATCTTGGCTTCTTTGCGCTTTTGATTTGGAATTTCCTGTCGCTGTGTATTCAGAAAGATTTTACCTTCGCCAGACTTTTCAAGGTCCTCCCATTCACCTATCCAGTCCCACATGTGGTCTCGGCTCACACCTCAAGAAGCTGTGTTCTAGTGACAAAGGGTTGCAACCAGCATGAGCACGGAGTTCTCTCCAAAACCAGCTATTTCCGTGCATGACAGATTGGAGGTAGCACATCTGCTCCCAGCCACCCCAGCTGAGTTCTGAGCAGACTGAGATGATTTACGAGTTGTGTGGCTGGTGTGCCCGTTATTCAGGCGATAGCGTGGAAAGCAGTATTCCTGTACTTACGTAGGAAAATATCTCAAATCACTTAGCCCAATATCTGGCTTAGAATATGCAAATTTATTGCATTCCTTCCTTGTTTTTATGTTTGAAAGAAATTACCGAGTTGTATACATGGAGTCTTAAGAGTTGTCTAGAACAGCAGTTCTCAACCTGCAGGTCATGACCACTTAGGGATTTCACAGGGGTTGCCTAGGTTGCCTAAGGCCACTCTGATTGTCAGATATTTACATTATAACTATTGCAAAATTAGAGTTATGAGGTAGCAACAAAATAATTTTATGGTTGTGGGTCACCACAACATGAGGAACTGTATTAAAGGGTCGTAGCATCAGCAAGGTTGAAAACCACTGCATTATACATATCCTGAAATTACAGCCAATTCCGTCTGTGGCCAAATATTTAAACTATAGAACAAGATTGATTCATTCCTCCAGAGTATTATCACCAAATTTTCATGTTTTGAAAGGGCAATAGAGGAAAAATGGGAGCCGGGGGGCGGGACCTTGGCTGAGTTCGTAGTCTACAAACCATAGAGAGCCCCATTGATTTTGAACAGAAGTGTCATTTAACTGGGTCGAAAAGATTCAATAGTCAAACAATGACATGCTTTTCCTCATTTTGTAATATTCTTAAATAAGTACATAATGAGTCATATCCACCAACAGTAAGCCAGATTTACTCTTTGAAACGCAATAATGGCCTCATTTGTAAATTCAGAAAATACACATTGTAAAACCTACCCAGTTCTACAGCAACCTTCTCAGACTTTGATCCAAAAATAGCTGGAGTTATTTTACTGTTCCCTAAAAGGAAAATAAAACAAACAAACAAACAACAATATTAGAATTGCCTGGAGTTTCTCTAGGACACCTATCTGTTGGAACATGATCATTCCATGTAACTAAGATTCCAGCATTAAATTCTAGATTATTCATGATTTTATTTACTGCTGTTTAAGGGATCCAAAAATGTTAACTAGAAGAATAACTTAAAATAACCAACTTGCAATTTTTAAACTGTGTCCCACTCTCAGTTTCCATCCCATCCCGTCCAAACTAGGACATGAATCATCCCGTTGTTCAGTGTATCCCTGCACTGTATAACACCAGCCCACTCATCATGGTATCATGGTACTTGTATTCAAATAACCTGTGTTCTATTTCGTCATGATCACCAAACACAAATGTAGCAACTTTGACAGTTTTGCTTCAGCATATTGCTACATTTTATCATTAATTATTTCTTGTTAATCTGTTGCTATGCCTAATTTATAAACCAAATAAAATTTACCACAGGCACATATGTATACAGAAACATAAATAGCATGTGTCAGTTTTGTTTTCAACTGTGGTGTCAGGGGCCCCACTAGCTCTTGAGCTTTATCTGCCGGTAACTGTAGTCATTACTACATACTGACTTGTGTCATGGTCTTATTAACTCTTCATTAACACAGCTCAGGTTATTGAACCTTCATTGCCCATTAGCTATATGTTCATATTGTTGAAAGCCTCATCCATCTAGATTCCTCTGAACTCAAACAGTGGCCTCAGTGAACCTGAAGCCAAAGAAACATCTCGTCCAGGGAGACTGCTGCGAGACACTAAGAGGACCAGATGTTTAGGACATACAAGATGGACAGACACTGGGAAGCACTTGCCCTCCACATCAACATCATCGCCCTCCATCTGTCCGTCTCTCAATGATGGATTTAACAAAATAATACCAAGATTAGATGAGCCATGTGAAGCACCCCTCCCAGGCACCAATCCTGCTCTTGAGGATATGGAGTCTCCAGCCCTAACCATGCCTTGGGTGCCTGACCTGACTCTACCCAACCCTGCTGTACAAATCTGTAATCCCAGCACCACTACTGTCCCTAGTGATATCTGGTCCTAACCTAAATTATATAAGCTTCTCCTATTAATCTCATTATTGTCAAAATGAGTTAGGTGTTATGGGATGGGTTCTTGATTAAAAGGATGAGCCCAGCCCAGGTTTTCTGTCTCACAAGATTCATTTACCCTCCAGTCAAGTAGAGGCCTTCTTCTCAGGGCTGGGGAATGATTGATGTGCTAGGATGGGAACTGAATTTGAATCCCCAATGCCCATGTAACAAGCTAAGCATGACTGCATGTGCCTGTAACCCTAGCACATGGTGGAAGAGACAGGCAGATCTTGGAAGCTTCCCGGTAAGTTAGTCCAGCCATATTAGTAAGTTTTTGGTTTAGCAAGAGATTTGTCTCAAGGCAACAGCAGAGTGGTACAGATAGAAAGATATCTGATATCCAGAGACACACAGGACATCATAGATACACACTCACAGGTGGTTCCTCGGTCTGGAATTTTCCAGAACTGCCAGCCCAATAAACTTCTATGGTTTATAATTGGCTTGGTTCATGGTGCTCTGTTCTATCAGAAGTATATGGCCAGAAGAAATTTGTGGGCACGAGTGTTTAAGGAATTGGAGAAAGGGAAGTTATCTTGTATTGTCTAGGCAGGCTATAAATATGTCTTCATAAGAAAGTCAGAAATGTCAGACTCTGGGGAATGCATATAATGATGGGAGGGGTGGGAGAGAGGAAGGAGAGAAAGGAGGAGAGAAGACAATGAAAAAAAGAAAAGACTGGCAGACATGTGCTCTTGGGCTGGAGAATAAAGTATAATGTAGGTACGATAGACTCTGGATACTGGTGAAAGGCAGAGAAATATATTCCTCCCCCACTGTCCAAAACTATACAATGCTGCGGAAACCTTGACTTCAGACCAGTGAACCTATTCAGACATGTGACCTCCAGAACCCAAAGTCAAGGTGTGCATTTGTTCAGGACACTAAGTCTTGGGGTGCTTTGCTGTAATCACAGGCAGCTACTCAAGCATCAGGTGACATGCAGAAGAAACATGTCTATACAGTGCATGTGTTAGAGCAATCTGTGAGCTTGTGGATTTAGTTAAATGTGTCCTCTACATTGGGTCCCTAGTTTACTGGGATAGTAGTGGAGAAAGTCATAATTAGGGCTATGGTCATATCTTCAAACGACTGAAGGAGCTTTCATATAAGATCAGATAATCCGTGAAGTTTGCAAAAAGCAGTCAGGAAGAGCTAAAGGCAGTAAAATGGACTCTAGGAAATATATCAAGGTGATTGCACACTCAAATTTCCCTGTAAGTTCCCACAAATGTCGTGGATGGCAGATTCTTGGCTGTGCCATCTGAAGTATATCCCTGTGCAGTGCAGATCAGTTAAAACGCCTCTCAGATTGCTCTCACCATAGAATCCTAGGTCTTTGGTTGTCCTCTGAGCTCAGAGCAGCTTGGGCTATGTGCTAACTTATAAGAGGTTCACCCATCTAAGCTTATGTTTGCTACTAGAAAATGTGTTTTCAGCCAGTTTAATGGGAGCCCAAGATAAACCTTTTAAACCTGAGACTTCAAGTGGTGTTGTGTTCTCAAACCCAAGGAGGTACCCTCTTCTCCCCAAGTAATTTCACAATAAGAAAAACCACCTGCTTCTTTCATATTCATTTGTTTCTTCGACAAACTTTCTCTTACCTTCAATAACCGTTATATTGAAAGTCCTGGTGATGTTGTACTGTTTCCCGTTATGATGGACAGAAAACACACAGGAGTAATAACCCTCATCTCCAAACTCGGCATCCTTCAGGATCATTGGGGTTTTGGATATTTCCTTACAGTTCTGGTTTTGTCAAGGCAAGTTAAAATACTTTAGGACACTAAAGGCAGTATAGTTTTAATTGTTCACATTCCTAACACTTGAGATCTTTAGGGATAAAGGGAAACACAACAGACAACCAGCAATCCCTAAGTCCGTGTCCCAGCAATTCACCCTTGCTTCCACTAGAGTAGTGAAGTGACTGTTATCATTGCCACTAATGAAAAGAGGGCTCTTACCACCCCAATTACCTGGTGTTTACACACATACAAAGAGAGAGACAGACAAACAGAAACAGACAGAATACTTAAATAACAAAATCCCTGCTTAGGTGAAGACTGTCCATCTTAGAAACACATCTCTACTTCATGACACTTTGGCTCCAATTCTGTGGGTAAGGGGGAAGGGTCGATGGGAATATGGACAGAATGACTCAGAGGACTGAGTAGAGTTTTCCAGCACTGGATTTTTGATGTCCTGCCCAAAAAGGCATAGATGACCAGATCCATGGACATACTTCAATCTTTCTTTTTCTCTCTACATGTTACAGTAACCAATAATAACAACCACAAAGCCACTGACTACAAACCAGCCCTCAGTCAGCCACTGGTAGATCCCTGTCAGTGCAGGAACTATCAGAAAAGGTGATCTGAAAGACTAACTTTGACCATGTGGCTCTGTTCCTCCACATTCCTAACAAGGAAAACCTAACGCTTGTAGACTTCACCCCTTCTTGCTTCTGCTGGTGGCCTCTGTAGCTAGACCCAGGTAGTTACCCAAATATCTTACAAAGTGTCCATGTGTACCTCATATCTGCAAAGTGTTTCTGAGCATAAGTAGCATTTTATAAACCCAAGCAGATGCTTTTCAATATGTACAGAATGTCAGAGGTCTTCATTTTCAGTTCCAATCAGACCTTTTCTGATTCAGGTGCCTTGCACCTCAGTATGATCACGGACAGCCCATAGTCCGAGCATGCTTGGCCTTCTGTTCAGCTGTTCAGCCACAAAGAGACCCAAAAACACGTATTTCCTAAATTTAGGTATCTGTGTACTGGGGCTTCCTCTAAAACCCAGCAACCAAGACTCCCTAATTTACATGTACTGCAAAATGTGTATATTTAACAGGAAAAGAAAGCAGGTAAACTAAAGACTGAGTCATATGTTTTAAAAATATTTCAGATAGGAAGCTCCTCTGCCACCTCACATATCAATACATTACAGAAAGAGCTACAAACACGCCCCAAGGAAACCACCGGTGGCTCAGCTTCCACGGGTTCCCCTGTTCAGCTTTGACAGGGTCAGCAGTACAGGTTTTCTCTTCCACAGATATGGCACAGGCCATGTTGCATGTGTCTATGAATATGAATGTGTGCACTGTTTTATACATGCTGAATGTGAGACGCAAGTGTGAACAGCTCCTCTGTGGCATCTTTTTAAAGAGCTCTTATGACCCAATAAGGAAAAGGCTCTCCAAGGAAGCAGAAACTACACAGACTACCCACAAAGCGAGTTCTATTAGGATACAGTTCACACATTTAACTTAGAGTCATTAAGAGAACAACAGGAAGACACACCAATTTCTGAAATGTCTGATGTCAACTTTTTAACCTTCTGAAAATATTATTTCTCATGTTATGGAAGTGTAATGAAGGTAGGTAGAGAGTTAGACAATCAATAAACCTCTCTCTGGTCTAGTAATCCTACATGTATGGATTTTCTAGAATGATTAACCACACTATTATAATATTAATCATAAATCACCCAAAATTGATATAAATATCATCTGTTATAATCTGTAAATAACAGAAGGACTCAGGAAACTTACATATGTCTAGTAGCAATGAGGTCATCTAGTTTAAATTAAGTCCATACAAAATGCAGGCCAGGTTTAAAAGAAGGTTGTTCAAAGAAAGGTATGGATGAATAATCACATTGTTTTAATTAGAAAAAAAACAGGCAACAGAACCCCACTTCTAAGGACAGATGTTCATCTGGTAATGAAAGAGCACAGTTGAAGGATTAGGAGGGATTTTTCACTTTCTTTGTTTTTTGTTTTCTGTCTTCCAGCTTTATAAAGAAGACTCAAATATTCAGGAAACATATACAATTGTGTTTCAACATTTAAATGAATATTACAAAATAAAGTGAAATAAATAATCTAAACCTACACTCCCTGAACTGGTTTAATTTAATTAGAAGAACAATGAAGGAAGATGAGGAGAGAAGCAGCAGCCACTGTGTACTGAACAGCCGCTACAAAGCAGAGCAGCTACCACACACCCCACATTGCATACTTTGGCTCTTTACAAGAACAGTACAGGACACCTTCTCACACAAGCCAAGTCAGCCATGTGGACTTAGACCAATTGTTCTAGTTGAGGTCAAAATGGTCCACTGTCTTTATATCCTCTGCATGGAATGTTATTTTTCCTATTGAGTCTTCAGTGGAGATATTTTCAACGTGTTACCTTATACAGAGACGTGTGGTTGATCAGCTCTCCATAGCTAGGATTTTCACATTCTATATGCAGAGACTTCTTAACTTCAACATCTTTGCTCGTCACAAGTTTTTCAGAGAAGCAGCTGTGCTTGTTTCTTTTGGTGACATTTAAAGTCCAATTTTGACGATCATTGCTAAGAAATAAAGGTATGGAGGAGTTTTGTAACAACTGAAGAGATTTTGCCACTGCTTCCAATCTTCCAATTCACCCTAATTTCTATATAAAGAGATTTAATTATTGATGTGTAGGTTTCTCTCTGCCACCGCTTGATTGAAAGCAGAAAGTTTACAGCTGTCAATGGAGTGAAAGATTACACTCCGGTGCAGTCTTTACACATACACACTCACACGCACACTCACACACCATCACACCATCATGTGCATAGCACATACACACCACACATGCTTACCAAATAGACCACACACAGGCAGACATTCGGTATGGATGGAAGAGCAACTAACGTTTTAAACTTTATCATCAGCGCTGAACAAATTCAGAGACTTACAGACCAAGATCGAAGGATAGTCTTAGTTTCAAGCCAACCTTGTCTCCTAATGATGTGTGCATCTACACTGTGTGTTCTGTTTCCCAAAGCATGTTACTCTGTGGACTTTTCCTTACTATTGAATAAGCTGGAGTTCCGCACAGCCCTTGCACAACTGAGCAAAGGTGAAATTCAGTAGCTCTTATGGTCGTGATTACTCTTCTCAGAAATCAGCCATCTTGAAGATGGTGCTAAATGACATGATTTTAAACAACAGCGTTTTAAAAAGTGAAAACATTTTCCATTGTGTGTTTGCTTCCACAATGCATGTGACATATGGGTCCACATCCCCAAAGTAGCATATATATTGGTAAATTTTCCTGTGACCTGGGAAATGTGTGTCCACCTGGGCTTTCCCAGGTCCCCTTTACATCTACAATGGGATGGACGGGAAAGAGCAAAGTGGTCTATTGCTCAAAGACTCTCAGATATTTTACAGTGTGTGTATGCAAGGGAGCTTGACCATTTCTCTAATGTTCATGTGAGTAACTAAACAACTTTCCCATTGTCGTGTGTGTGTGTGTGTGTGTGTGTGTGTGTGTGTGTGTGTTGTACTGGGTGGGACCAGGAGTAAATGCACATTGGGTTGCCCCTAAGAGACAGGAGTGGTTGGTATAATACTACATTTTCACACTCTCTGAAGCCTTGTTCTTTATCTTGTAGTTTCTCATACAGAGGAAATCAGCCAGTGTCAGGGAGGGTAACAGACCGCTACTCGCTAAAAAGCAGGGACTAAGTGGCCATGCATAACAGAGCTACTTGGCCTTGAAAAGAGCTCAGATTCCTATTGGCAGCATCTTCTTCTTAAAACTTCTCTTGTCAAATTGTGTTGGCTTCTACATCTGCAGTTCTCGATTCCTAACATTCAGCAGATCTTGACAGAGTGCCTGCCATGTGTGGGAACCCCTTAGGAGTACTGAACCCGGCAACACTCTGCGCTCCCTGTCAAAGAGCAAGCCCAAAGGCTGATAGGAAATTGAGATCAAGAAAATCAAAATCTAAGACCCTTCCACAACTTCCCTGTCGCCTGTGGCAGTGAATCAATGATACTCTGGTTATAACGATCCCTCTGGCTGGGTACTGCTTGAGTTTAAGAAGCCCTGCTTAGAGGCTGATTGCTCATTTGTGGAGTGCTTGCCTACCATGAACATAATCTTGGGTTCCATCAGCAGCAACCTAAAGCCAGATGAAAGAAGAAAGGCAAGAAAGAGAGATTAATCAAAAAGGGAAGAAGAAGAAAGAAAGGAGAGGAGGAAGGAGGGAAGAAAGGAAGGATTAAAGAGGAAAGGCCTGCTTTCTTCTCTCTGGCTCCAATGTAAGCTTTTTGTGCCCCAGCCTCGGGCTCCTACCTTCATTTCTCCACCTCCACTACAGAAAACTTTCTCTTCTGTGTGATTTTCTTTCTTAGCTCATTTTCTTTCCTTTCTAAAGATTTTAACTTTTAGAATTCTGAGTGCATGCAAGCATGCGTACGAACATATGTAAGTAAGGGTGCTGCACAGCCCAGAAGAGGCCCTGGTGCCTAGATCTGGGTTCCAGGTGTTTAGGAGCCACCCAACACGGGTGCTGCAAACTGAACTCAGGTCTTCAGCAAGAGAAGCACATCTTCTTCACCACGAAGCTCTCTCTCTCTCTCCTGCCTCCATTGCTCTCACAAACGCTGGTCCATCGGCTCAGTACAGATTTCCTCCTTAAAATGTGATGCAGGCTCTGGGTTCTGCTTCTACTTGAACTATATCTAAAGATGTCCAAGGCACCTGTTTCCATGCGGAAGCTCCATTACACTCAAAGCCATCCTCAAGGCTTCTCCCTTATCATCGGGTGTGTTCCTTTGACTTTCTACACACTTCAGGGGGTGTTGGAAATCCTCTGAGCTGGTTTATGCTCCCATCTCTCCATGCTGCTTACTCGTGCTACCTCATTCTGAAGGTCTGACTCTTGCTTCCTAATACAGGCTGTGTTATCTCTTCTCTATATCAGAAAAATAGCAAACACTCAGCTCCATCTTCTCCCCAGGATGACCATAGCTGCCTCTTCCCCTCAAATGGCTCTTCCCACCTTATCCAGAATGCCCATGTCTTTAAGTCATGTGCATGCAACAGTGAGGACAGGGACTGTTTCTCCTCCCCATTCATTTGTAACTCACTCTAGAAAGATCCAATTGCAACATCCATATTATAATTCTCTCCCTTACAATGTCGCATAAAACTTCACTTAAAAAAAAAAAAAACAAGTTCTACAACTTATTTCTGATGCTCAGAAGTTTCTGTGTCAAATAAACAACTATGACCTCATTTTGTGAAAAACCACAGGAGCAAACCAGAGGCTTTGCTGTGAAATCTCACTTCTCTTTCTCTAAGTTGTGCTGATAATGATCAGGGCTCACTCTAGAATCAAGACATATTACTAAAAGAAATCTGCTATATTGCACAGCACAGTGACACATTATCCAGCTAGCCCTGAGCAATGTTTAATAGGTCAATGTCAAGTCTTTATAAAGAATGTTTACCTATACATGTATGCATATCTCTCTCTCCCTCCCTCCCCCACTCTCCCTGCCTCTCTGCCTCTCCCTCTCCCTCTCTCTCTCTCCCTCCCTCCCTCCCTCCTTCCCTCCCTCCCTCCCTCCCTCTCTCTCTCTCTCTCTGACTTTGGCTATTAGCTTGTGGCTGGGTAGCAACTGTATCTTTTCCCCACTAACTGCCTCTCATTTCCCAGAATCCTCCAAAATCTAGACTAGGATGTATTCCCATAAATCCTTCTCTTTCTCTGGAGTCCAAACAGGACATGTGGGAGGAGGCCCTGGTTGCTCCTGCCTCAGATGCCACATCATCTGAAGTCCTCACTACTCAATCCACCTGAATTTCACCTCTGCTTATCATTAGCAAGAGTCCCCTCAAAGGGAATCTCATTAGTCATTCGGCAAAATCACTTAAAATATATAAATACAGTGACTGACTTACTATTTCTACAATGAATTAAATGTTTGTTTTTCATTGAAGAGAGAGCAGGGGAGAAAAAAAATGCATGGATTATCAGACCTTACAAATGTGTATTTGGCTTTCTGAGCCAAGGTCAAGAGTCCCGGGAAATTTGTTATAACAAATTGGCTCACTCACCCCACTTGAGAAAAGTACGTTCCCTCGTCATCCAGCTCAACTGGCCAGAATTCTAAAACATGACCACGAAAAATGATTCTGGGCGAGCTTCTGGTGTCCAGTTCTCTATACTCATGTGAAGCATTGCCTCTGAACCATCTTATGGTGGCTGTTTCATTCTTGTGCTCGGGTGTAGCCTTGTCACAGGGCTTCAGATAAAAAGGCTCTCCTTCTATCACGTGAATTTGTGATCGGTGAATGCAACTTTCTGCAACAGATTGAAACGGGAAAGGGAGATAAAACAGGACAAGGGTGACTTTTCACTGACCCCCCTCCACCAGTGTAAAAAGCAAAGTCAACGAGAAAGCTACAAGAAATCTCAGCATTACACTCCTGTGTTGTCTGAAGGGAAGACACACCGGAGATAAGACACTTTCAGAACCAAGATGAAGATAAAGCTGATGGCTTCCCCTAGACAGAAAGCTGAAGAGCTTAACCAACCCTCACTCAAAGGCGTTGAGGCCACATCTTCAGAGTATGACTATAACTTACTGTTAAGGAAAGATATAGAAGTCATAGGGTCATCATATTCCTTCAAAATGTCAGCATCATGGAATCTCCATGGGAAAGACAAGAGACCTGAGTGTACATCTTCATCTCTGTCACCACAGGCCTCATGTCCCCTATGCCCAAACAATCTGTATATTCCGTTCTGGGGAAGTTTGGGAGAGATAGTGGAGTTCTTGGGTAGCTAAATCCCCACAGCAGCATGTTTCCATGTAACTGACCAAGAACTAATGAATGCAAACCACACCTAATACTGGATCCCTTTCTCTTCCCATTTCCCTGTTTCTCAGCTCAGATCCTTTAGCTTTGGAAATGTATCTTTTTTTTTTCACCTCCAAAGAGCGGCCCTCTATTCTAAATTGGAGTTGTTGAACAGTTCTCAACCCCTGTGGATCTAGAATGCCCTTAATTAATCCTCATTTAGCAAATCACAGTCTGTTAAGTAAAGTCCACGAAGTACTTCCTTAAGACTATATACAAAATGTCTCTGTTGTTAGGGTCTATTGTTCAGAGCAACATTTGGGAGGGCGTTAACTTAATGTTAACCACAGCAGAAGAAGGAAGTGGCTCAAATGTCAGATCCACTTCAAAGTTCAAGAATGACACTGGGCATCAGCCTCTGGCTGGTACTCGTAACATAATCTCTGTTCTCCATCTCAATATTCCAACATACTTGCTTCTTGACACTCAAAACAAGAGTCTCTACCACTTCAATAACTCCCCAGTGCCTTACAGACTGAGGGTTACAGTCATACAGTATATGTACTCTCCGTGTCCGGTGTCTGATGATGTCTCCGCACATGATCAAGCCTATCTGATCCTTCCGTACATCATCAAGCCTATCTGATCCTTCTGCACATCATCAAGCCTATCTGATCCACACATCATCAAGCCTATCTGATCCTTCTGCACATCATCAAGCCTATCTGATCCTTCCACACATCATCAAGCCTATCTGATCCTTCCATACATCATCAAGCCTATCTGATCCACACATCATCAAGCCTATCTGATCCTTCTGCACATCATCAAGCCTATCTGATCCCTCCACACATCAATCCTGTCTGATCCTCACATCATCAAGCCTGTGATGTCCGTTCTTTTTCCTACATGCAGCATGAGCCCTTTCATCATTATTCTGCAGGGCTCAGCCATACCATGATTAGACTATTCATTGTCTATGTACTGGGAACTCAAGATTATTGTAAGAGACTCTATTGGACAGTTGAAGTTTCCTAGGTTTCCAAGTGTTGCTTCATTAAAGAAACAAACCTGCTACAAACATAAGTGCTTGTACTTTGGCTGATGAATGTGTGAATTCCTTTTTGGAGATGGCCTCCATTTAAAAAAAAATAGTGGGCAGTAGGAAGTTAGCAATATATAATTATGAGGAACCTCATGTCTTAAAATAAGTTTTCTTGTGTTTAGCATTACAGCCTCACTTTGATTGATATGATGCTCGAGGTAACGTTACATGAATGAACAGAGGTCAAGGTGCACGGACTGGGTGAGCAGTCAGTCCAGTTCGTCCATGGACAAAGTCAGTGGTTTAAATTGCTCTATGCAGACAACTGTGAGAGGCCAGCGCCAACAAGTCGGATGAATTCCACATATGAAATATTGATTTCCTATTCATGAAAGTCATTCCCTAAGCCCCCAAAGGAACCGGGAGCTAGAACCTGAGCCCCAGACCTAGCAGACTATAGAGCTGGTTTTGTTCCAAGATTGTGTTTCATGGCAGTCGGGAACAGAAGATAGATGTTTGTCTATCAAGCATGGAACACATGACACACGTACTTTGCAGTCTTGCTCAGTAGTCCCTAACAAATCATTTCATACCAAGAAAAATGAACGGTCTTCAGGATTTGGGTATCACTGCATTGTGTGGCATGTACTATTCCAACAATGCATGGGTATGTTCATAAGCATACCTCCAGACTGGAAATGTATTATATGAAAACAATAATAGGTAATCTCTGTTTTCCTTTCTCAATAATTCTCAAAGAAAAGGATATGGGCCCAAGTGTTCCCTTTTGGGTGTGACATTCTGAAGTCGTTTAACTGATTTGCTCCCTTTCTCCTCCAAGTCCTATGCAGTCATGAGACTTGGCGCCAAAGAACAGGACCTTTCAATCCTTCTCCACCTGGAGAAGATCCCCAAACCACCACAGCTCATAAGTTAAAGATTCTGTCTGACCTGCCCTGAAGCTTGCTTCAGAGTCTAGTCCAGCCTTTCTCTTTCTTATTTTTTCTAGCACTTGGGTGATTTTTAAGAGGTGGAAAGTATTTTCTGTTTGCTTCTTTTTGAATACTCCTTTTAAAATGAAGGAATTCTTGCTATCCTCTCAGGAAATAGAAACTTATACAATTGCAAAGAACTAGTAAAGAAGACAAGTGTTTTCTTCCTCTATTTCAAATGCAGTCAGGAATAGGTAATAGATGCCTATTTTCTTCTAAAGTGTAATTCAGTGTGAAGACCCCCGCCTCTCCACAAAGTGATCTGCGGACCTTTATTTGGTCTGTTCCCAGCTCTCTTCCCTTCCCTTCTCCAGGAGCAGCAAGTATTTCTCGGAATTCTAAAGTAAAATCTGAAGTCACTAAATGTTAAACAGATTAGGCAACTTGAGTAACTGCATCAGCAATAAATAAAAAACAAGCCCCCATAATTTCCCTCTGGCTCTTGACCAGTTTGTTTATAAAACACTTACTTGAGGCACTTTTAACAACGAGAACGCACAGTATCAAGATGAATTCTTCATGATGCATGTTTAGGCTTCTGCTTCTGCTTCGAATGGTAATTCTAGAGAAAGAATAATTTAAGGTTAAGCTTACACCCTCAAACAAACCAATTCCACCTTACAACAGATGTTTCAACACTTTCTGGGCACATAAACACAAAAGCACTCCAGCAATGTCTCCTAACTTCTAAAATAGTCATGAGTGCACCAAACTTTTAGCCACATAGAATTAATACATTCCAAGGCAATGAATTTTAGCTCCCAAAACACATAATTATTTAACAATTTTTTTTTTAGTACAATAGGGCCTGATATCTTTTAACCTGATGCACACTAAGTTTTGCCTCCAGGGTCCAAGCTAAACTCTAGAAAAAATACATGATTCTACAGATGAAACAATCCATGACCTATTGAGGTGTGAATGGCAGTTCAACCTGTGCAGAAGTGTGTGTGTGTGTGTGTGCAGGTGTGTGTGTGTGTGTGTGTAGGGGTGTGTGTGTGTGTGTAGGGGTGTGTGTCTGTGTGTAGGTGTGTGTGTGTGTGTGTGTGTGTAGGGGTGTGTACTATGTGTAGATCTATTATGTGTATTCTGTGTATGTTGTGTGTGTGTGGAGGAGTGTGGGGAGTGTTGTGTGTGTGTGCAAGGGTATGGGGTATTGTGTGTGTGTATGTGTTGTGTGTCTGTGGAGGGGTGTGTATGTGTGGTGTGATAGAGGGCAGGAACAGGGGAGAGAAAAGCTTACTTTGACTCACTGTTTCATAGTTTCAGAGATTTCAGAAAGTTTCAAAAGTCTAAGAATTATGTTATCATGCTCAACAGTAAAGCTTGCACAAGGCCTGGAGCACAGTGACCACTGTCTTTGGAGTACTATTAGTAAAGAAGAGACATGTGACCTGGGCACCTGGAGCACTGTCCCTTGAGGAGATGCATATGACCTGGGTACAAGTCAGCACTGGCTGCCCCAGTGCTTACTTTAGGGACATGGATAAAGCAAGTAGCAGGTTCCTATAGTTCTAATGCTCTTTACAGGACTGGGACCCCAGGGCATTGTTCATTCTGCACTGAGCTTTGATCCTAGAACAGCCCAGCCTTTGCCTTTCTAATATGAACAAGACATGCAGGGTAGAAGAGGGCTCTTCCAACTCAGGCATCCAGTCTAAATATTTCACAAATAATCCCTCATTTCCTGTTTACAGAAGTGCCTACCTCTTCCATCCCACTGCCTCAAAGGAACTCTGGTACCACAGAACACATCAGGACATAAAGAGATTTGGTTCTGTCAGTGGTACACAAAACTAATTAGAATCCCAGTCTGATAACACTTGAGAAGCTGTGGACCTTGGACAAAGTGAGTATCTTGAGAACTGTTGGCCCACTCCCAAAACACAGAGGGTAAGGTGGCTTTCTTCCAAATCATGGAGGGATCACAGTATCTAAAGTTCGTGAATGAAGACTTCTGGGATCCCGGCAGAGCTTAAAACCTAGAGCAACGCCTAACAGCCGCTCACACCCAATTCAACCTCCTCAACCACAGGAGAAGGTTTATAACAAACCTACCCAAACCACCTACCAGTTTGCAAGGGATGGTAGTGTGAAAACACAAAGGGTATCTGTTCATGGAAAGTACCAACCGTTCAGAGCCAAATTAGAACAATGGGTAACTTGAAACCTCTGCCGCCCACTCCGACACCTTTATTAAGTGTCTGATAGTTCTGACTTGGGTAGAATACAAAACTGCGGTTTTCCCCATGCCATTTCTCCAGTTGAGGCTGCCACAGGCTGGCACTATCTTTTTTCCTTCCTTCTCTGTTATCATTTTGACTTTCAACAAGAAATAAAATTCTACAGTCATTCAACATTCTGATAAAAGTTTCAACTTGAGACGTGTTAAGATCTCAGCATATACAAAAATCCACGCTAACCACACGGCTGTGTGAGTGGAGGTGTGGGCGGTACTTTGATGTTCTATTGTGCTTCGTAAGTTGTATATGTGGATTTAAGAAACTGGTGTTTTTCGAGGTGGGAATTTTAGGGGCTGTTAGTGTTCTCTTTTGAGTTTTTTTGCTTTGTTTTGTTTTGCTGTAATCTTGAAGCGACTTGCTTTTCTTCTGTGTTTTATTTGTAAAGTAATATCTTCCCAATGTAGAATACTTATAAATCAAAGAGTAAAAATAAGAAAAAATTTTCACAATACACCATCTTTCCCTATTCTTCTTGCAGTTTTTTTGTATTTGTTTTCAATAATGAAATGATGTCTAAGTAGCTTCCTGTCTTGTCTTTCCTCCTGATATGTTCACTGAAGGTTTTCCTAACTTAGACTTTTCCTTGTTCTTGCTATTCTAATGAATCCCTCGGATTCCTTCATAAGCATGTGCTATGACTTACAAAATAAACTCTGTTATATAATAACCCATGACTGACTTCATTCATAAGGCAGTATATTTCAGTTTTATGGAGTGCAACCATGGGCCCCAGGCTGTCTAGATCTGAATCTTCAAGTCTTTCCTTTACTGGCTTAACAATCGTGGGCAAGCCACCATGCCTAGCTGTGCTCAGAGTGCTTAATCCATAGGAGGGAATGACAGGTCTATCTCTCTGAGCAAAGTGTTCCTGCCCAAAATGTCTAGAGAATAATGTCCTCTAGATGTCAGCTCTTACCACTGTCCTTATTTCTTATCATTGTATTGGTGTTGTGATATGGTGGGACAGAGAAAAGTCATGATTAACGCACACTGTCCAGACACATTCCAGAAACACCTTTGCAGCTTCTACCTGTCCAGTGCAAGATACTTTCGACCACACCCATGACAACAAACTCCATGACAATAAGCTCCATGACAACAAGCTCCATCCTACCTTTCAGATCTAACTAGGCTGTCCAAATGGAACAGGGCCTCTTGTGTATTTGAATCTGCATTTTCTTTTTATTATAAATGAGGCAAATAATCACATAATACCGGCTGTTTCATTTCATGATTACCAACTTTTCCATAGCAAGGGATTCTTTCCCAGTTCCCAAATGTCTGGAATTCTACCCTATTTGTTTAGCTTTTAATTTTTCTTTTGGTGTATTAGCATATAGAAAATTTTTATGTTCATGTGTGCAAGTCAATATTCTTGTGTGTGTGTGTGTGTGTGTGTTTCTATTATTTGTAAGTGTAGATCATCCCATGTTTCCCTCAAAGGTAAGACAGATGCTTACCTATATTTCTCACTTTTATGGCTTTATAACCATGAATTATTTCTCTGTCTAATCAAATAGTGCACCCTTTCCTTTGAAGTTGGTTGATATCCACTTACCATGTAAAGGCTCTCCTAGAGCACTATGGGAAATCTAGCACAGGTGCCTGCCCGGGGGCAAATGTGTGTGCATGAACACAGCCACTTCCTCTCTGTTCTCAATGCGCTAACCTATCCATAGCAATTGCTACTAACCAGCATGAGCCACTTTATAGTGGCTTCTTTGCTGAACTGTTGAATGAACCAAATCCGCAAAATACATACAGATGGGAGTCCCGATTGTTCATTCAATTCGGTACACACCTACACCATCTCCGACTTCGTAAAGCATGACATCTTCAAAGGCTTGTTTTCACAGACACGTTGCCCCCTAAACACACACAAGGGACAGCCTTGACTCTTCCAAGCTCCCCGATGATCCCAGTGTGCACACAGATGTAAAGCCACCAATCTACAGGCCTTGCCTGTGCACTCAGAGAAGTACATTTCGTGTTAGATACATTCACTTCAGAGTTGACCAATAAATTTACAATTGATACATGTGCGAGCACGTTTGCGTGTATCCATAAATAGAAAGAATAGTTACAAACTTAGTTATCCAATGACATAAAATTGTCTCTACATTAAATTAAGTTCCTTTCCAAAAGTTATGTGATCTTGAGGCATAGGATAAAGGCCAGATGCAAGGTGACCAGTATCTCTGTCCCTCTAGACAAGGAAGCACTTCCAGGGTGTCCTTTTGAAGGGTATCAATGTGGTCATGTCCTGAGGTCCTGAGTTTCTGAGTCTATTCTTTTGGGTCCTCACCATGAGAAAACTGACCACATTCTAGTAAAAACAGTTCATCTGAGCACATAGGCGTTAAGCTCCTTAAAGCTTCCCAGTAAGCACACGCGCGCGCAGACACACACACACACACACACACACCACTCACAATTGATCTTGTTTTCAGGATCCTTGCACCCCTGGGAGTGAGTGGTCCCTTCCCCTAGTTCCAGACAGCAGAAGTCAGTGAGGACTGGACATCAGAGCCTGCTCTTACCTTCTGAGAGGCAGCCCACAGGCAGGGCGGGGCAGTGGCTTCTCCTTCACTTACATCTGTGAAGCCGAATTCGCCTAGCAGAGGAGACTGAGTACCTCCTGGTTCACAACTGTGACACCAGGGAGGGAGGGTTCGGTGAGGCGGGGCCAGGAGCTTGATTAGAGAGATCCAGCAACCCAGAGAATTGTTGAAGGGAAAACAAAAAACAAACAAACAAACAACAACAAAAATAAAACCTAACGATTCCGGGGTGGAAGGGTTGGGGGAAGAAGATCAGAATAGTAAGAACAAAGGAAAAGCTAAGATTTCAGGTGGGCACCGCCCGGGATGGGAGGGGCTCCAGTCCGGAGTTAAGAGTTGGGGGACTGAAGTCTGAGGCTCTACAAGCTGCTCCACCCCGGAGCGCTCAAACTTTCAGTTCTGAGAAGCCTTGCACTGCTGGCAGCAAGCCTGTGCGGGGTTTCTCCTCTCGCTTCTGCTCACCTATGAGCTCCAGAGTTTCCAGAACTAACCCCGACCCCCACCCCTGAGGCTATAGAAAAAGTCCACTGAAGTTCTCCTGCCTGGGTCTCAGCTGACTCCTCGCGGCTCCAGACGTCCATGGAGGCACAGCCACCATCTCAGCTTCCTGAAACCTGCAGCCTGTCTATTACCACCGAGAACCACCTGTGCCCTGTGAGCACCACACCCTTCAGGCAGAGGGCGCTGAGAACCCGGGACTCCTGCACCAAGGTAGGAGGAGAGTCCTTAAGACTGCCAGGCTCGCAGAGCCAGCATAGGATGCTCAGCCTCCTTCATGGGTGGAACTCACAATCTGGGAAGTAATAGTGAGATTTTAAATTGTTCAAAAGAAACGGAGGCCAAACAGAGTATTACTAGATTTTTATAATGAACTAGAACTCTTCAAACACACTTGAAGAAAACACTCAGGGAGTCAATGGCACATTTATTTTTTGCCCAGTGAAAAATAATTCGCCATACAATAATAAATAGGAAAAGCATAATATTGTTGGGATACATGAAAAGCAAGTGTTTTAATGAACTTCAACACTCCTTCTACTGTAACTCACAAACTGGACAGCAGCAAGGCTCATTCCCTTCCTAATCTAATATGGGAATGTCTAAAAGCAGCAACATTGAGGAACACTTTGTTTTCCTGTGACTAGTAACCAAATAATCTCAGCTCTACTTGGTCAAGCACCTTGAAGAAATGGGGAAAAAAGTAGAAATGGGAGAAAGACCACAGAAGACATTTTTACATGGATCATGCTTTGAACCTTTCAAAACAATAAAATAAAACTAATATTTTGAGTTTAGCATAATCATCAGATTATAGTTCATTATAGAAAAAAATCAATTATTTCTTCTCTTCTTTTTTCTTCCTTCCTTTCTCCTCCTCCTCCTCTTCCTCTTCTTTTTCTTCTAGTTTTTTGACACAGGGTTTCTCTGTGTAGCCCTGGTATCCTGGAACTCACTCTGTAAACCAGGCTGGCCTTGAACTCACAGAGATCCACCTGCCTCTGCCTCTCAGGTTAAAGGTGTGCATCACACTGCCCAGCACAATTACATGCAAATAGTTTAGAATTGTCAGAATAATCTCAAAAGCAAATAAATAATAATTGTCTTCAGTCCTTTTCGGTGGATGGAGCAGCAGGCATGAGGAAGCATCTGTTCCCAGAGATGAGACGGGAGAGCATTTCCATGTTAGAGGTCTTCATTCAGAACAATCACAGAACGCACTCACATTCCTAAGGCTCACTATGAGATTCCATATTCACAAACATTAGTATTTATGGAATTATTTCTAAAATCCAAATACTTCTATTTTCTCTTAGCAAAAGAATCCAGTATGGTATTATGTCTCATCCGACCTAAGAAAACTACTATTTGAGGATGTAAAGGAACTTTCTCCCAGCCACAGAGCTAGTTACCCAGAGCAAGGATTCCATTATCCAGAACAAGGATTTCCTCCTGATTCCATGTCCTGTGACATGAGACAGTTATATACAGAGCATGCTTTTCATCGGTCAGTTTTTGACAACTCACTAAAAGTAGGTGAAGCTGTCAAAGAACACAGCCATCTACTACAGCGGGACAGGTGGATTAATCAAACCATCCAATCACAGGATGGATGCATGGGTGATCACCTTCAGCTAAAACTTCAGCCTTTAAACTGAACGTTAGCAAATGTTTCCCTGGCAATCCAACTTAAGGGTTCAGATTAAGAGCATACAGTCCCCAGAAGAACGGGCTACCCTATATCCTCCACACATACTTCTGCATATGGCTTCTCTGCAGCCTCGTATGTTGACCATGAGGTCAACATTTCCCTCAAAAGTCTCCCAAATTCTGTTTTCATTGTCACCTCAGAGTGGAGTCCCATCACCAACTGAGGAACTCAACTAAGGCAGGACTCATATCTATCAGCAAAATACAAGGTACCAGTAAGACACTTGCCTAAGCTCTGGGTCTACTCCCTGAGTGCCTAGGGCCCCACAGTATGTGTGTTCTCCTGGAGAAGACTGTCCAGAGAACCTCTGACTACAGATTAAGTCTGTTCTGTCCAAATTCCCTACACATTTTATAGGAGTATCACAAAACTAAGCTTCTCACAGTGACAGATACACTTCAGTAAGTAGGTAGATATGCCCGGGCAGACATGTTTCTCATGCTGCCTGCTTCAGCTGGAGTCTGCAGCACAGGCTGAGATGAGACATTAGGAACATCTGTAAATTTTAAAGAAGTCAGCCACGAGTTTTCATTATGGTCGGAAATAGGAAAAAATGCCAAGTCTGTATTGTACAACCTCAGCTATAAAACTTATTATGTATAAACTTTAATTTTATTTTAAAATACAGACTTACCAAAATTAATCTTCAGAGTCGTGATTTTTATTATATTTCCTTTCTATTATTTTTTTATATTTTATTATATATTCTTCGATACTTTATGCTTTCTAATCCATCTTTATTACTTTTAAAGTGATAAGGAATTTCTAAGGAGAATGAAAAAATATATAAAAGACATTTAGAACTGAAAAATGCTCTACTGTAACAGCAATTTGGATAAGATGTTCTACCAAATCTGGCGATATTGACATGACAAAACTCGGTAACTGACAAAAAGTAAGAAATTGTGGTGTGTTAGGAATGAGGTTTACTACTGGTCCTCTGCTTCTAGGGATGAGACTGCTCTTTGAGATGAATCAGAACATTATTCTAGAAGTGTCCACTTGATATTCAGAATGGATTGTTGAATGAGAGGGGAGGCCCTTGGTCCTATGGAGGCGCCATGCCCCAGTGTAGGAAAATGCTAGGGTCAGGTGAGGTGTGAGTGGGCAGGTGAGTGGGGGGAGCATCCTCATAGAAATAGGGGGAAGGGAGATGGAAAGTTTGTGGAAGGGAAACTGAGAAGGAGGATAACATTTGAAATGTAAATAAACAAAATAACCAATAAAAAATTTAAAAAAAAAAAGAAGAAACAGAGAGATAAAGAAAATAAAAGGACTCAGGGATTGATCTTGTGCCATGAAAGAGTGAAGTAGGCAAAGGAAACCAGAAACAAAGGATGTATGACTCTTCCCACAACCAGGAAAACAAACCAGAGTCGCTCATTAGCTGAGACTTGTGGTCCCCAACCTTGACATTTCAAGTTTTCACACTTTCACTTTGGCACCTACTGTTGGAACTCCCCAGTTCTGGGTAGGCAGGTCCACGACTCAAAAGTGTTTCAGATCCAAGCACTCCTTGCCACTCAATGGAGCAGCAACAGATGCCATCTTGGGGGGTCTTTTCGGTACTGGCATTTGGTATCTCACATGCTTCCAGAATCTGGAGTTTAAAGACTGCTTGTAGGCCACGTGGTCTTCCCTCCACTTGATGGTTCCCTGCATTTTCACAAGATGCTGGAGAGAATCTTGCAGGTCCCCAACCTGCAATCTGCTTGCCTTACCCGGAGACTCCATTTCAATAAGAATCACCTTGGAGTTGTTCTGGATGAGGGCACTATGCAGAGCAATCTCCTGCTCGTAGGCAAATTCCTTGCTGTGCATCATGTGAGGAGCCAGGACAAACACTTGTCGTCTGCTCTTCTGGATACTGCTTTCCACTACAGTGGCTGCATCTACAATCAAGAGATGGATGGAGACTTCCTGTCATTCCTTTTGTAAGTTTAGTGCTTGAATCATGAATGCTCTGGACATAAAAAGATGGAAGACTCTGAGCTGATAGAGTCATATTCAGAAAGCAGGAATGAAGTTACCAACTTTGCTACAAAAACATCTTTCCAAGGGCCTTGTGTTTACTCAGATAAATCAATGCTAACAAAGAATCTTCCCAGCAACCTGGGAAAGTGAAGGTCTCACAGTCTATCATTTCATGGGAGAGGCAGAGTGGACTTCAACGGAGCGTGGAAGACAGGTAGCCAGAACCTATACACAGTACACTGGCCACCTATCAACCTATCAAGGGAAGAGCCATGTTCTATTGGCAGCTTTGATGTAACTGGCTGGAGGAGAGATCAGAGTTTGTGCATTTATGGACAGGAAGTAGAAACTATCCAACAGAGTACTGTCATCTGACAAAGACAATACAGGCTTGATCCCTAGAGAACATTCAAACATCTGAGTTTGGCTGACATGGAAGTAGGAAGGAGAAATGAAGATCTGGCAGCTACTTAGAGCCCCATAGACAAGTGGAGAGCCTACAGATGCTTGAAGAGATCTGAGACACAGAAAGAACCTTAGTTGTCAACAGGAGAGCTCTCGAAGCAAAGAAGAGCCCCTAGGAAGAGCAAGACCATACCTTCATAACTTGTGCATCTTCAGGTCTTTTATAACAGTGTCAGCATTGATCAGATATTTGAGAAGAATCCAGATTGCCCTGTGTGTACTCCTTCCAACCTACTGGTACTTAAATCCCTCTCCTTTAGAAGACATGTCAATTTTAAAAAGTTAAAATAAGGCCTAGGCTTATGATATTCTGTCTCCATTCTCATTCTAAACCCTTGCTGGTTTCTGAGGAATCAAGGAAAACTTGACAGAAAGGTGAGAACATTCCTGGCCTAAGGGTATGGAGGGCAGAAAAAAAGAAAGAAAGAAGGAAAGAAGGAGAAGAGAGAGAGAGAGAGAGAGAGAGAGAGAGAGAGAGAGAGAGGAAGGAGGAAAGAAGGAAAGGAAGGAAGGAAGGAAGGAAGGAAGGGAGGGAAGGAGGGAGGGAGGGAGGGAGGGAGGGAGGGAGGGAGGGAGGGAGGGAGGAAGGAAGGAAGGAAGGAAGGACCATTGCTGGCACTGCTGGAGTTGAGATAAAGCTATCTAAAGTAAGTGAAATTAGCTAAAAATACTAAGAAGCAGAAGTCGCTGTCCTGCTGCCCTGGGAACACAGATTTGTAAACTGTGTCAGCAACATGACGAAAATCAGCAGGATATTTCCCAGGTCTTTCATATATCTTTGCCATAGCTGTCTGGATATCAGAATCAAAACCTTTTTCTCAATTCTGTTAGGTCTCCTGGAGAGATTAGCAAGTTTCAGAGATGGCTCTGCCCAACTGTAAAGGATTATAACCTTCTCCTCACTTCACAAGCCTTTAGACTCTGAACCATTCCTGCAGGAGATTTTCTAGCCCTCAGAGCACAGAAAGACAGATTGGAGACCATTACAGAAAACCACAGCTGGTCAAAAAGCAGAAAGCAAGCAGTGGTGGGATCCCAAGTCACAACTGGTGATCTACAACATGACTCCTTCACCTAAGGCTCAGGGGACATCTGGGGACAGGGAGAGGAATGATTCTAAGAGCCAGAACACTAGGTCAGCTGCTGTGAGGTTGTGTCTCCTAGAAATGCCAGGGAAACTTCACCCATGACACCTTATCATGCATATGACCTGAGTATGTACAATACCAACAGATATGCTACAAAGAAGGAAGGAAATCTCATGAGGCCCAAGCCATAGTGAAAGAGCGACATACAATTAAGAAATGTCAAAAGTAGGAGAGCTGCTTGGATGAGCCCTGTAATTGATAAGCAGGCTAGATGATATGTTTAGGTGTGCTTGCGTGCATGTGTATGTATGTGTGGATGCATGCATGCATGCATGTGTGTGTGCATGTGTATGTGTGACATGTGTGTGTATGCATGTACATGCGCATGAGTGTACATGAGTGTATGTGCGTGTGCATGTAAGTGAGTGTATATGTGTGTGTATGTGTGGCATATGTGTGTATGTGTGTGCATGTGTGTATGTGTGGTGTGTGTGTATATGTATGTGTATGTGTGCGTATGTCTCTATGTGTGTCTGTGCATGTGTGTGTGTGTGTGTGTGGTGTGTCTATGTATGTGTGTATGTGTCTATGTGTTTGTGTGTGTGCAGCGATAATAACAAAAAGGCATGATTTAGAAGAAGCAAGATAGAGGGACTGGAAGGAGGAAAGAAAGGGTAGAATTGACGTAACATTTAGCTTTAATCTTCCGAGTTATTCTAGTGTGATGCAACGGAAACAAAGTTGAGGCAATAGTGGCTAGCGCACAGCTAACTCATATACCATGTTCCACCCACACGGCTGTGGACACCTCACTGTTAGCACAGGAGTTGGGTGAGAAGAGTAAACAGTGAGCATCTCCTGAGCAACAATCTGAAAGCTCTGGTCTTGGGACAACAAGATGGCTCAGTAAGTAAAGATGCTTGCCACCAAGCCTGAGGATCAGAATTAGATCCCCAAGCCCCAGATGATAAAAAGAGAGAACTGGCTCTTTGTAAGTTGACTTCTCACTGTCACAGACATGACACACACACAACATATATGTAATCTAAAAATAACTCTGCTCTAAGTCAACCATGGTGGTTCATGCTATATCATAATCCACATGTGCGTTAAGCCAGCTTGTACTACATAGTGAGTTCCAGGCCAGCCAGGGGGACCAGGAAAGACCCTGTCTCAAAATAACAATCAACCAATAGTAAATTTCTGGTCTTGAATCTAATCTGAGATGACTCTCAACGAAAGTCCTTCACCAATCAACAAGAGGTCATTGCATAAATTATTTTTTTGTTAATAAATGTTAAAATATTCTAAGTTAAATTTCTTATTGCAACATAACATATCACAGAATAATATAACATATTAGCATTGTATATGTAACAATACACAATGACAATGTAATAATACATTATAATATAATAATATAATGTAATAAATAATTTCTATGACATGTAGGGTATGAACATCAAAATTACCTCTACTCACTACTATGAAGTTAGTATGATTTCAAAACAGAATGTTAAGTTTAAAAATGCAGCGTCGAGAACATGTGTGTATAGTTCACACATGTTAAACTAAACTAAAAGGCTGAGGAACTAAAAGGCTGATGTAAATATGTAACTCTCACTCCTTACTCATTTTACTAAAGTTTCTTATATTTAAAAAAAAAATTACATCTATGCAGAATGCCTTAGACACCATAATGACATTTTGTAACGTGTGTTTCTGTGGCTCTCCTTTCCCCGTCTCTCACACCCCCTTATTAGCTGCCTCAGGATCCTTCGAGATCTACAGGTCCTTTTCCCTACCCCCTCCCTCCTCACTATCTAGCATTATCTACGAATAGTCTCCTTTCCAGGATTTTTTTTTTCAAAGAATTTTAACCCCTGACCTGTCTTCTTCGATTTACCTTGCCCAGGCAGCAGGTCTCTCCCATAAATGCACAACTTGTAGCCACACTTATTTTCAAGAACGTTGGGCAGAGTGTGGTGAACGAAGTACTCCACAGAGCTGATTTTTGCTGCGCTGCCCCGGAAGACCCGAGGGTAGATGATGTAAGCATCATAGAGCTTGCCATCTGAGAAGGAAGCCAAGAAGTACAGCTTCATTTACTGCTGAGTCTCAAACCTCCCGCCTGTCTTCTGAAGGACAGCTCTTACCAAGTTTTACGGCTGTTAGTGATGGCCCTCCATTCCCCCCACCCCCACAATACTCTAAAATCAAGAGTTACCATCAAAGTATGGCTATAAAATTTGACCAGGAAATAAGAGATCTGGACCAAAGATTTGTTTGTTGTTTACCATCTTAGCTTGAATGATAAAGAACAGAGTCTTCAAAATACTTCAAGTTTGTTTATAAGCTGTTAGTGTCTATTATCATGGGTGGGGTGAGGTCCTTGTCTGCCTATTGACTGTTATATTTTCCCTACACAGTATTCCTCATTTAACTACAGAGCACAGGCACAAAGACCTCCAGTCGCTACCTGAAGCCACAGATAGTACTGAGCCCTCTAGTCAACACTTTCTCCTACACACACATACCTAAGACTAATTTATAAACTTGTCAAGGTAAGAGTTTAACAACCATAGCTAGTAATGAGCATGGAACAATAGACTAAAACAAATGCATGGCATCACTACTCCAGCACCCGAAGGCCATTACCTCGATGTAAAACAACTGTCCCTCAAACACAAGCCCCATGAAACTGCAGCAGTAAGCCTGTTAACAAATAGTGTAGTTGGCTAGTGCTGTGTTGTTATATGTTATACATTGTCCACTATACAACATGGATACACTGAACAGACAATTCCTGTCCAAGGCAGGACAGTCACATATCTCAGAATTATGCTCAACTTAAAACTCACGTTTGTTTCTTTCATCAATTGCTTATTTAATCTTTACATGCTTCAGCTGACCTTAGACAACTGAAACTCCAGAAAGCAAACTCAAGGAGATATGGCAACCATGCTACTTCCTTGGGAGTTAACATGCTAATGGATAATAGTAACAAGAAAGTCGAACTTCTTAAGGGCTCTAAATTTCCCACAAATCAAACAACCTCCTGCTAATTGATTGCTTCATGCACAAACAGCTAACGTAGGCTTTTTCAAATGAAGGCTTCAAATCCTCCACTTCACCAGGACTCTTTATTTTACATGTGTAAAGCTTGTGCACGTGTGTACTCATGGAACGAGGATTCAAGGGAAATGAACATGTATTCTGATGCCCTCCATAACCTGCTCACACTTGAAACGTGGGATGATCGTATTGTCCTTTCGTAAAGGTTTATTAACATGCATTTTCCAAAACATTGAACCTGTCTGGGCCTCAAACAGAGTCTGTTATGCAAACTCACTAGGAATAGCAATCCCACCAAGAAGAATATTGGAGATGAACATCTGAATGTCAGGGGTACACTAACAGAGAGGCATGGAAAATGATCTGTGTAGACTCAAAAATCTCACGAATGAGGTTACAAAGAAAACAGAGATTAGGTTTGGCAGCAAAGCATCATCAAACAAAGAACCAATAGTCCATGGGACTTTTTCTTGTGAAGAGAATCTTGAAAACAGATACTCACCATTCCAAGTTTTGTAAGGTGTCACTATATCTCTCCAGAACAGAGCAACCTCAATCCAGAACACTTTTAAGACTATCACCAAGACATTGATAAACATTAGCAATAAACTACAGCTGGCAGCTAGGTAGTAGATGCTTTGGTGATCAACTATCAAGAGATGGGGAGATGGGGAAAACTGTCATTAGCATTAGGAAAATAAGACAGATGGATGGTTGAATGAACTTGGACATCCCCAGAAACCACAAGGCATTCCTACCCAATAAGCCAACATTGAATTTTCAACAATACTTTCAAAATCAACAAATCAATTTTCTTAGCACATAGTCTGGGCAAGTTTGGAAGCTTGGTAGTACAGCATGTGCTTAAAGGTAAAGGAGCACACAGATACATGTAAACCCAGCTAAGATAGACGGCAAAAAGGATTTCAGCTGACAGAGGCATTTTGAACAGAGATTGCTCTATGCTAAAATAAGGAAGAAAGGCTTCCTACAGAATGGATCACTAAAAGATGAGGAAGACTCGGAAAGGTATAGAAAAAGCAACACTCTCCTGTTCAGACAGGATGCTGAGGCCATGTGCAGAGGTAGTAGAGTGTGTTCTGAGAACTGTAGTAACTACGTTTGAATAATTAGTGGAAGGTGTGGTCAGGGTTGTGCATGATCAAAGACTCTTCCTAGGGAACATGTCCTAATGTGAAAGGGTATTAGAGACAAAAGTGCTTTTCAGCAAGATTAATCTGACGGTAGTGGAATGTTTGTATGTATGGGAAGGGCTGTGATGTGTTCAAGGAATATAACCGGGCGGGTATTTGGGGGGGAAGATGAAGTTTGGAACTCATGAAATGATAAGAATGGGATTGGTAAGGTCAGTGTTTGTTGGCAGCCCTAAGGAACATGAGTCAGTAGATCAGGAAGTTAACTGTATCCAGGGGGTGGAGAATATAGGAAAGACCCACAGTTGCAGGACATGGAGTATTGTGATGGAGACATCAAATCACTGGGTTCTATAATCTTGACACCTTCCAGTATTGAGATCTTCCTTCAACTATCTCTCAGCTGAGTCCCGCATTCCTTGTTTCACAAAACACACAGGAAACATGATTTCCAACTGTAGGAACTTGTAAGACACATGTACAAGTTGGACATAGGAACTGCTACCATTCAAGGTATGCTTGGCTGTTTTAACCATATGATCCTCATAGTCTTATTAGAAGTGGTGCTGTTTCTACACGAATATGAGGAGATTCTTAAGTCAGATCTGGTAAGTGGTTTGTTTTCATTTTATTTGTAAATCCTCATGCATAGGCTACAAGACCTGGCATGAAAATCTCTGCTAGTAGTGACAAATTCCTCTACCATCCTTGAAAGTTCACCATCTCTCTAAATCCTGGAAAAGGAACTCAAGACACTAAAGTCTTGTGACCCAAAGATGAGGAAAGAACTCAAAACTGGCCATTGCTTGCTGTCTTTGCTGCTTTAGGTTTAAGTAAGAACATCCCAAGGGGCTTGTTCAGAAAAATTGTCTTAAAGTCCCACTGGATGCAAGCTAGGAAGGTACAGAGGGTATGGAAGAGACACGTCTTCTAGGAACTTTTGTGGGTGAAGTACCTGTGTGAGTGACTAAACTGTTTACACAAGGCAAGATCTTGATTCAAGATGATCCAAAAAATTGATGTTCAACATCTACCTACGTGCTTATGACTTTGTAAACTACAAGTAGTGTTCACGTCAATGACTAGCCGCAAATGCTTCTTGACAGTGTTTATAAACAGGAAAATGCCATCTGTGTTGAATCCTGGGTCTAGAATTACAGTTTTTGGCAAGGCCTTAGGCTCACTCTGTCCTTGCTTCATTGACTTAGTAAGCAAAATTGACAAATTGTATGGGGTGAGAAGATAAATGAGAAATTCTAAGGCATAATTAGATCTGGCTTCAACATAGAAAACATTGAATATGAATATGAATTATTGTTATCACAGACACTCTATTTGCACCTAATGGTGGTTAGAAATATGCAGAGAGAGGCTTTTTAAGTTTTTTGATTTTATACTTTGAGAAATATCAGAATTCGTTATAATCATTCAATAACAATGGACATGATTTTTGTTTAACATTCCATGTTGTTCAAACAGTATGAACACATTTATTTGAACAGCAATAAGTAAATTAAAAATAAACTGGAAAATACAAAATCACACACCAACAAAACATATACAAAATTACAGATAACACAAATATAATTCCAATACAAACTAAAGAACTCTCAGAAATCTAGACAATAGATCCTGTTAGCAGAGGAAGGCACTGAGGTCTCAGGATAATGCCCAGTAAGACTAGGGAGTTGGCTTCTCTTTTCTTGTAGAATGTGCAGTGACCACCATCATCTCATAACACAGTCACCCCGAGTAGCACCATTATCAGGGACAGATGCTAAGACCTCACTGAACACGACAGCACTAAAATCCATCTATGAGTCACAACTCTGGCCAGCTAGGAATCAAAACTCTCTTTTATAAAATGTTACAAGTCAGAGGCTCTAAAATCAAAACCAAAACGAGAAATATCCTGGCTGGGTAGGGTGACACACAGCTTTAATCCCAGTACCTGCGAGGCAAAGGCAGGTGGAACTCCAGGAGTCTAAGGACAGAGTGGTCTCTATGGTAAAAACAAACAAAAGAAGACAAACAAAACCAATAAAAATCCAAAATGCCACTTCAGGCAGAGACATAGCATGGCTGTATCCAATAGGTACCTCTGCCCTATCCTTTTAATCAATATATTCATCCAAATAAATGCCTCACATATTGCTATGAGCTTAGAGTCAGTGTCTCTTTCTCTCCCATGCTCTCTTGATATTTGAAAGCAATTAAAAATGTTTTTACATTAGTTGTATTGCCATTAAGGTAGTTGTCAGTATCATAAGAGAGTGATAAGGATAAAAAATGTTTACTCTTTTAAAATGGGATCAAGTTTGTCATCTATCTATCATGATGACTGTACCTGTCATCCTAAGGACCAAGCAAGGAAATTAATAACTGCCCAGAATGAAAGGCAGTGTAAGTTGTTTTTCATGACAAGATTACACAAAGAGACACAGCAGGGTTGTTACTGCTCTGAATCCAGTATCAACACCAATGTCCCTTGTAGCCTGTGCCAAGGAGGACTGAAGAGGTCAATATCAGGTGAGAAGGAGCCCAGAGAGAACGAAAGGAGAGGAGAGAGGGGGTTGAGATCACATGAGGAAAAGTGAAGAGAGGGGGAGGGCTGTGGGGAGAACAAGGAGGAGGGGAACAGAGAGAGGAAAGATACAATGACAGAGAGTCCTACTGGAAGACAGAAACCTTCTGGAAAGACCAGATTTAAGGAGCTTCCTCAACATGAGAAGCACATTTGATTAAACTGGTCAACTAGTCCCACGATCATGTCAGATTCCCTGGGACCAAGCTACAACACATAGTCCTCTGAGAAAACGGATGCAGTTTGCAGCTGATTCAGCCAATGGAGTCAAGCACTGTGTGAGGGACACTCCTTACTTGGTTGCTTCCTTCTCAGTCTTACGGTGCGGTTTACCCAGCCGTCAAAGTTCAGAGCCAGACATTCATATTCCAGAGACAAGTCCTTGTCTGTCACACCAGTTATCCTTAACACTGAGGTTAAACAAGTCATGTCATCGCTGGAACTGAAAAAAGCAACATGTTACTGATAGTTTCCTGGCAAGTGCTGACTGTGAGGAGAGAGAGAGGGATGTCACAACTTCAATTTAGAAATAGCTGGGCATTGTGATCTATGGCCATATTATATCCCAATCATGGGATATAGTAATTCCATCATTCAAGAAGCAGGAGGATCTCTGTGAATTTGAGGTCAAGCTGGTCTACACAGGGAGTTCCAGGCCATTCAGAGTTACCTAGGTAAGACCTTGTCTAGATATAGATAGATAGATAGATAGATAGATAGATAGATAGATAGATAGATAGATAGATATAGATGATAGAAAGAAAGATAGATAGAAAGATAGATAGATAGATGATAGATAGATAGATAGATAGATAGATAGATAGATAGATAGATAGATGATAGATAGATATAGATAGATAGATGATAGATAGAAAGATAGATAGAAAGATAGATAGATAGATGATAGATAGATATAGATAGATAGATAGATAGATAGATGATTAGATAGATAGATAGATAGATAGATAGATAGATAGATAGATAGATAGATAGATAGATAAATGATAGATAGATAGAAGATAGATAGATAGATGATAGATGATAGATAGATGATAGATAGATAGATAGATAGATAGATAGATAGATAGATGACATGCCTTTTATTTTGACCTTCCTCTTCTTGAATTCTTGCTTCACCAAAATTTCTGACTGTTGTTTCGTTAACCTGCCACAGGACAGCAGCCAACACCTGAGAGCCTTTGCCAAAGCAAGCCGAGCAGGTAATACTTGCTGATTTTCCTAGATAAGAAGCGAAGAGGTTCATTACAGAAGTTCAGTTCTGTAAGTGACATTCAGTTTCACTCAGTGTAGTAAACCTGCAGTCAGTTCTGCTAACATCCCCTCCTCATCTTCCTCCTGTCCCTTCTTTGTCCTCCACACCTCCTCTCAACTCATGGGGCACTAAGCTTGCTCTAGCCTCGCATAATCACATAGGAGTTGTTGCTAGTTAAAACATGAGTTTCTTTTTCACTGGTCTCCACCACAACTTTCTCTTCCCACAGAATTCCCCTTATCTCTCCAGAGCTACCTCTGGAGATAAAAAAACAAAACAAACAAACAAACAAAAACAAAAAACAAAAAACTTTACCCAACCCAATCCAACTATCAACTACCCTGGATGTCAACATTCACAGGTTACTCTCCAATGTCCCATTAAAACCCCTTAACTTGAGATGTTCTTTTAGAAGTGAAAACATCAGAGTTGATTTTGGCCACAGATATACACTCAACCTTCCTTTCCTAAACCTCAGACTCACACTGAAGCTTACCTAAAAATGAGGCACATAAGAGGCAAGAGACCTGAGAGTCTCTGGAACAGCAAAGCTGTGGAAAAAGGAATAGAGGCTACCACACTGCAGGTGAAAATCTAGTAGCAGAGACGTAAGCTGATGATACAGTTAGATGCTATTCGTTGGCAAGGAAGAGGAAGGGAGGAAGGATTGCACACAGGAGGTTATGTATGATCTTATTCCACAGAAATGAGGAACAGCCATGTGGGCAGAATAGGGAAGAACATAAAGACGGTAGTTATCAGAGAGTGGTATGCTAGGACCAGCAGTGTGACAGATGGATAGGTTACAGAGAGTGATAAGGGAGGCGTGATTCATCATAACATTTCAGACACCAAGTTCTTTTCATTGGACCCAGCTTCTAATGGAAATCAACAAGAGCAGAAGCAGAGATTCACAAATCTGTATTCTCGCTCTTTTGCTATCCATGACCTTTGGTGCACCTTTGAACATTTCTGAGACTATGTTCCTCAACAGTAAAGTGAGGACATCTGTTCCCTGGGCAGAACTGATGATAACACGGAACACTTCTATGAGAGTGCTATGATCGCCAAGGCTCAACACAAATGCAGTGATGACTTTTGCTGTGACAAGGACATGTGTTTCCATACTGTCACCTCACATAATCCCCAAGCTCTCCGCTACTAATTGCATGACCCTTCCACAGGAAACCAGACCTAAAATCTTAAGGAAACATTTTCCCAGATCAATAGAGAATTGTTTAAAATTTCTTACCTATTTCCACTTCCACTGTGTGGTTTTTTGGAGGGTTTGTAATTACTGGAAGCATAGAAAAGCCTTTTTCTTAACATTAAAAACAGAAATAAAATATAATTAGTTAAGTATTGATTAATCATCAATATAAAGCTAGTCTTTTCATAGTTCTATTTAATGTCACAGCATTGTGTCAACTCTTTTGAAAATAACCTTTGGTAGTGTAGGCACACAAATGAAACAAATGTTTTATACAATACATTTTTGTGATTACTATGACACTTTTTGATATCTTCTATTCTCTTCTATGTCATTAAGACAAATACTGTCTGATCCATTGACTGTGACTTATAAATTATTTGAGAACCATGATTCTACAGGAGCAGCACAGAAATACAGAGAAGATGACATCAATATATCCATGGCAATGATATGTTCATGAGCCCACAGGTCCACTGCTCACAGCTCTCTGCCACTGTGCTCATGTGTAGATCGAGATGTTTCTTCATCCTCCTCAGGAGATTTCCCTTCTGTCACCACTGAGATGGGGTGGAGGTGTGGAACAGGGAGGTCTCTGGATGAACCCTTTACCCTTATATGCTCATTCATTTCTGGCAATCAGGATTAAGAAACATTCAGCACTTGACATTAAACAGAGAGGCACAGACACAACTATGGTCTGGTGATGCTTATTCTCAAGCAATGGAGTATGGAAAGACTCTAGACAAAACATTGTCTCCAATATTGCTTAGTCCTATTCTTGTTCCATGACACTTGGATAGTCAGACCTCATCTCCTTGATAGAGGAACTGTGCCCAGAAAACCTCCATTCTATAAATACCATCAAATATGATTAGGAAATCTTCCACTTTAATGGCTTCTATAATGTTGAATTCATACTTGGAAAATGTTTCTTTTCTAGACAAATGACCTGCTTTGAAGATACTGATGATGTCAAAAGCATTGTAGACCAGGAATGAAACCACCTAGCAGTGAGTATAAAAGCACTGTGCCCTGTTACACTCAGGCCTCTTCATGTGTGGCTTCTATACCCATGAACTCAACTAGCTACACACGGACATTAGTGGCTTCTTTGATAACTGTTGTGTAGACTTTTTTGTGGACTCATTCCCTTCGAAGTAGTACACCTGTCTGTGAAATATTGCATTTCTTATTGCAAGCAATCCAGAGATGGGGTAGAATTTAAGAGAGGAAGTGAGTAACCTCTGAGAAAATATATAACACTGGATTATCCAAGATTTAGCTGTATAAACTCTTTGGAGATCAGCCAGAAGAAGGAAGAGGAGGAAGAGGGGGAGGGGGAGGAAGAGGGGGAGGGGGAGGAAGAAGAAGAAGAGGAGGAGGGGAAGAGGAGGAGGAAGAGGAGGAGGAGGAAGAGGAGGAGGAGGAGGAAGAGGAGGAGGAGGAGAAGGAGGAGGATTGGGTTATTCTTGAAAATTAAGCCTCCCAAAACAGAATAGCTATGGCTTTGGTTCAAAAATATAATATCTTTCCCTAGAATTTTTAAAACGTATGCTGTGTCACAACTTCCTTTCATAGTAGAGTATGTGGAAGTTAAGAGGAAGCAGAAGGGAGTAGAGTATGGAAAGAAGGTAGGAAATGCTACCATAAGTGTGCAGATCTCCCTGGTTGTGTTTGTTTGAATCTTAGCCCTTGTTGAAACCAACAGCTTACCTTCAACTGTGAATGATCTGGTGGCACTCACGATATAGTTGGTTCCGTTCTCTGTGTGCGTGAATTGACATGTGTAGTCACCTTCATCATCATGCCTCACATTGTCAATGAACAAGTAGGACCTGTGTGCCTTGAACCTTGGCTCTTGGAGAGCTTTGCAGTTCTGAAGCAACAACAACAAGACATTCCATTCTTCTCCCACTCAATTTTAACTCCCAGCTACATTACTTGTACAGATTTTATCCCAGATTTCAAATTTTTACCTTAAACCACTGAACAGGTGCTGTCCAATTATACAGGTCAATTGTTGGACACGTTATCTTGGAATTTTTATCTGATCCATGTACTGTCTGGTACATCAGATAATCAGGGATGTTACAGCTTGGCGGCCTTTTATATATGGTGACATTCAAGTATCCAGTCTTATTCAAGGTGGGGCTATTAAAAGAAGCCAAGCATTTAAAAAGAGATATTTATTACCATGATGCAGCTTAATCCAACTGTGACCCTTCAGCAATGTTGTGACAATATTTGTTGAACCAGTTGCAGAGTTAAGCCCTCTTCGTGAATTACATTATTTTATTCTCAAAGTGTTGATCTGGGAATCATAATGAATTTTACAGATGAGGCACCAAGAGACAGAAAGGTCACTTGGTGGCAGCATACTCATAACTGGTAGAAGGGCATGGGTTGGAAACTGTGGTCACCAAACCTAGGCACCACACCAGACCTGGGCTTATCTGACACTTTGTAAGTACCAGAGATGGTTTGAAATCTAAACACGTGGCAGTGTTTAGATCTGCAGTTCGGGCTGAGGAATTTGCAGACATTGACCCCAAGTCTCTGCAATCTACCTGTTTGTCAGGTTCTGGCATCTATGCCTTTCACCTAACACAGATCTTTGTGGTAATAGATGGCTGGGCTTCCATTTGCTATTCTGGCTTGTTCTTAATCTCAGAGAACATCGAGCGATTATGCCTTGTTCTAATGGGTCACTAGACAAGCTGGGCATTCTGCTAATCAGGCTGTCAATTATATATCCTGCTGTTATATATTCAATAGCCAACCCATCAACCCTCAGGTTGCTGGTCTTCTCAGTTGTACTTTCTAAGTGTCTAATCACTTTATAAATGTAAACCATTTCACTGAGAGGCAGAACACAGAGAAAAAAAGGACAGCTGGGCTATTGGCCATTGATGAAAGGGATATGTGCACAAGGCCTGTAATGGTTTCCTGATCAGTACCTTCTGATAACACAAGCATAAATCCCAGAGTCTTCCACTCTGGCTGGTAGAAACTTCAGACGATCTCTTGAGACAAAGATTCGATTTCTTTTTTGAGAAGGAATACTTTCATTTGTATTTGAGTAATACCATTCCACAGAATAAGTTGAGCGTCCTCTTTGGGGGCATCTCGCAATTAAAGCTTCATTTTCCAGACCCCAGAATGGTTTGCCTACAAATCAAAAAGTATGAACATGATCCTGAAATGTCCAAGTGAAAAGAGCACAGTTCTTCATATAACTTGATTTTAAACGGATCATATATTGTAATGTTTTGAGGAAGAGTAGGTCAACCATAAAACCCATCTACTAGATGTGGCACTTGGTGCAACAGACTAAAGAATCAACTTGAGCTAATGGCCCTGTTTGCACCTGGTCCATAAATGCTTGTAATGACTTCCACGTGAAGGTACTGTGTTAAGTCTCGATTTATATAACTCAAAAATTACAACCCACTCACAATAGGGAATTCCTTCTGAGAGACTTACAATAAAGAATGAATGAAGAGGAAATAATTCTCTAACATAAAATTCATCCCAAAACAACAGGAAGCAAGCAGCTTAAATGAGGCCAAATGTTCCCAGAATTATTTAAGTTAGAAACATACCACTCATCTGAGAATCAATACTTACTGCCCCCTGTTACTGTCAAATACATGAGAACTGTCAGAATTGCCAAAGCCCAAAGCCTCATTCTTCGTTTGTCAATCATGTGCTAATGATTGATGGCTGAGGTCCTTCTGATGGCAATGGTACAAGATGGTAACGGTGTGTTCACTGGGTGGTTGATGTGTGCTGTCTGACTTAAGGTCCCTCTGATGGCAATGGCACAGGATGGTAATGATGTATTCACTAGGCAGTTGATGTGTGCTGTCTGATGTAGGGTCTAGAAGAGAAATCAGTGTCCATGCTGAAAAATAAACCATGTAAAACCACAAGTAAAATATTTAACTTGTATTGCTTTTTACATACTTGTCTTAATTTGTCCTTGTCATAAAGGACAGTCAATTGACACACATTTATCAAATTCACATATGTCTAAGAGTAGGTTTCTGGCATACAATATTGCATTCATTCCTACTGAACCAGACAGCAGTAATCACAATGACTAGATTTTTTTTCATAATTATATCTTACCAGTCTCTTGAACATTTCCTCAAAAAAGCCAAGTTAAGAGGAAAGGAAACAAACTTTTGCATTAGACAAAAATTAAAACCATAAAATTGAGGAGAGGCTAGAAAGCACAGTGTTAATCAAAACCACAGCCATGTAGCAGGCTGGAGCAATGTGTACATGTCTGATGTTTTACACACAAGTACACACAGGTAGGCATCATAAAAAAATAATAATAATAAAAAAAAACTAAGGAAGGAAAATTTTGAACTAGAACATCAGCCAGGAGACTATCCAAAACTGTTCCCCCAAACTTTCAAAGAATAGTCAGTGCCTAGGGTTGTTCTCAAGAGTCACAGAGCTTGTCAGAGGTCTGAGAACAATAAATAATCCTTTTTTTTCTTTTAAAGAATCTATTACTGTGGCTTTTCCCTTCACCCGTAAGAAGAAGGATACAGAAATTCCCAAAGCTAGGAATAAATATGAAACTCCTTAGTGGTTTCAAGAGGGCACATTTCTTTGAATTGCAGATACTTTTTCTTTTACAGGCTTCAGACAGTTCTTGATTCTTACCTCAGATGAAGAGCTGAAGGAAATAAGCTCAGGGTCATGAGGCTACTTACAGCTCCTTCATTGAGTACCTGCAGACTAGCCATGTGGGCATGCTCTTTCTTTTTAAATACACAGATGTTTTGGCTTTTTTTTTACACCGCCCACCACGAAACTTGAGTTTTAGCCAAAATCCATGACTTGTTCAAAAATGCTGCTGTCTCACTTACTGGGAAGTCTTAAACTTACCACATAAATATTTAATCATAAGGACAACGTCATAATCCATCTCAGGGGAACTGCTTAAATCACTCTCCTCTGTTTTTTGCAGGGTCCGTGAAGCTGAGATAAACAGTGCTGTTTATCATAGTGTTCAGTCCCAAATCACACACACACACACACACACACACATACACACACCAGGCTGTCCTCCAGCTTACTCCCAGACATGACCTCTGGCTGATATCTGTCAGGGGGCACCATCGATTCCTGTGGTGTGGACAATCTCACAAACCACCACATGTTGGGGGGAGAGAGTGCAGGAGGGCATGGAGATGAGCCCCGACATGCAGGAGGCCTTCACACTCCACAGGTGCTTAGATACGTTCTATAATAGAAAGAGCATGCCAGACTCAGGCCAAAGCGGTCTAGCATCTCAGATTTCAATCTATAACTCTCAACTGGGATGAAGATAACCAAGCTGTTCTAAGGAGGCCATCATCTCTTGGGGCATCACATAAAGCAAACAGTAATGGTTGGTTTGAGTTGTACTATGCATCCCTGTCCTGACTCTATGATGAGGCTTCCTTTGATGTCTTCACTTGCAGGAAGGATTGGAGTACCATCCCCACACCAGCACCAATAGAAAAGGAATTCAAACCTCTTTGTGGTACCTCCTCTATACCTTATGTGGCTCTCTGTGACTCCCATATCAACTCTTCACTCCCCAAGTCAGCCAATGCCACACTGTTGTTCTCTCCATTGTACAAATGATGACCCAGAGGCACAGAGGAGACTAAGTAAGGGGTCCACACAACACAGCGCTAAGAGAATTAGAAACCAAGCAGCCTGGATCTAAAGACTAACCACCAAATGCAACTGAACCAGGTGCAGAAAGTCAAACTTGGAGGTACTGCTAGCTAAGGACACAACCTCAGCCAGTCCTGTATTGTTCCTTATATTGGCTGGAACTACTCCTGACATCTCTTCTCTGCCCAGTGGCTTAGACAGCTCATGGGTACTAGTGACACACACTGCAAGGTGAAAATACCAAGCCTTTGCTGTCTGAAAGCTTGACGTTGAACCCGCTCCTTGCTACTCTTAACTCTTATTATCAGGATCCTATGCAGCATGAGTCTGAGCAAAATCTAAGACCATATTATTTGGTACTAGCATCAGACTGCTTAAATAATTCAACCAAGTTCACTCAGTTGTAACTGGGGTTAAAACCACGTTGTTGAAACAAGGAAACCTTAATTCTCTTCTTTTCTCATGGGTCAACTAAAAAATGAGGGAAACAGTTGTGGTCAAAACCTTTTTCTGCTCACCATGACGGAGTTATTACAGTAAGATACTTCCCTTAACCAGGTTCTTCAAGAGGCAATAAGCCACCTCAGCCTCTATTTGGGTTTGAAGACATGGGATGCAGCTGTTTGTGAACACACAGGATACAGCATCAAGAGGCACGACTGAATGAGGAGGGCCTCCAATCAATGAACCAAACAGGAGACTTAAAGAAGCCAAGTCCTTCAGAATCTGGCTAGCATCTGCCATTTTTTCTGAAAAAATGATCTTTTATATCTTCAAACTATCTTGTTTTCAAAGTCAATGTTATAAAAATCTAACATAGTTTTGAACCCATATGTGAACCTATTTATCATCTGGTTCCCTGACATTTCTACTATGAAGTAAATTGAAACAAATCCCTCTGATACTGCTAGGAGGGCAGTCAGTTCCTTCCATTTGGACCACGGCACTGGCATGTTTTGTAACAGGATATTATGCAAAGTATATACATTAGACTTGGCCAACGATGCACTTAAGTTTAAACTACAAATGTTGTAATCCACCTGAGCTGGCTACCTGTACCCTGATCTTATCAGAAGTCCACTGTATGAGTTGGGAACTTTTTATCATATTAAAAACATACAAATATAACCAATTCCATAACTTTCAGGAGATCTTACCACACCAAGCAAAGAATGGATTACTTTGCCCTTCTGTAATTAAAGAACATTTTTAAAATTTGTTTTCCATTTTTTTCTTTTCCTAATGAAATTGTGTGTAGAGCTGTCATCCTCCAGCCACGGATCTCATAAGGCCTGTTATCACAGGAAATGCGCATTCTCTCATGAATCCTTCTATTCACCTACTCAGGCTCTGTTCATCTTTCTGCTGTAGCTGCTGTTCTGCCCCAACAATAAGAAGTACAGGCATCAAAAGAAAAGTCTTCCTTTTCAGAACCTAATAGCTGGTGTCCTCTAGCCTTGTCTCCTGACCCCCATGAAAGCTGGCTTCTCCACAACTTTTCCTATATCAGTAATGAGCACATCATCATTAGCTCAGAGCAAAATTCTTCATGCTTGATCTACCTTCCTCCATATATGTGGTGGGCAGTCAGTCCATGTGGATTAGTCACCATTTTCACCTGTGAACTCTATCCTACCTGCAACATCCCCCCACCCTCTTCATCCATGACATCATCTTGTATTTGTGTTTTATTGATAGCTCTGTGAGAGCTTTCTGGTACCTCTTCAGTATCTTCTGGATGCACTGACTCCAGAGAACCCCTAAGAATATAAGCCAACTCACACAGCTCTTTGGCACCCTTCTACTTTAGCAAGAGGAAAAAACAATATCCTAGAGTGTCTATGTGGACTTATTGCCAGGATGCTATTGCCAATCAACTCTGTGTCCCTGTGTCTTTCTGTCCTTCCTGTTCATAAGCAGAGTCCACTGTCCCCCTTGTTCCTTCTCCCAAGACACCTCATTGCAGCTACCCACAGACTAACTCTTCTCTTCCAACCTGGGTCTAAGACAGATTGTCTCCCCAAGGCTCATCCTGGTATTCTAGTTTGCTTTCCGATGCCATAATGAAACTACTCTGACCAAAAGCAACGAGGCAAGGAGGAGAGGGTTTGTTTGCCTCACAGGCTAAAATCCATCATTGAAGGAAGTCACAGAATAGGCTCAAGGCACGAACCTGGCAGTAGGAGGTGGAATAGAAACTAAAGAGGAATGCTACTTACTCTCTTTCTTTCCCTTGCATGTCAAGTCCCTGCAGGACTAGACACATCCTCTCCCACTGAGGCCAGAGAAGGCAGCCTAGTTAGGAACAGGATCCACAGGCAGACAACACGAAGGAAAGTAATTTTGACATTTATATTACTGTGTGATTTGTGTGTGAAACAGAGAAAGCTTCACGCATGAACGCACACACACACGCATGCACTCGGTTGAATGAGCCAAGATAGCCGTAGACGAAGAGTTTTGGGTCTGACACTCAAGCCTCAGGTTGTGGATGACAACAGGAGAGTGATTTACCTCTACCCAGAGACCTCAGATCTCCAGAAACACAGACTTCTCTTTGTTCTTTCATGTTTGGCCAGGCCCAAGTCACCCTGGGAAGATCCATGGGGAAACCTTGGCCACAGAAAAAGCCATCAGCAAGAATTGAGAAAGAACTCTGTGGGGGGGTGGCAGCTGTGTGAGAAAGCCCCAGCAGTTTTAATTGTCTGCATGTGCATAGTGACTAAGACATAAAGTAAGCTGTTCAGACCTCCAAGGAGTTACTGCATCTCACGCCCCTGACCATGTGTCACTGAGATGTGAATTTGTCACACCTTAATTGAGTCCAGGTGTATTTGTGTAACAGTCACTGTGACTGTGACTGTTTTCCCAGCATCAGAACTTACTGTATAAATATACATTTTAGGGAAATTCTAAAATTTTCATGAAAAGTCTAAGATTTCATATATAACTAAAATAACTGTAGCAGCGTGGTGTTGGCACAGAGTTCTACATAATAGACAAAGGCCAGAAACGGACACCTAGAAACAGACTCAGAGAGTGAGTTGGCGTTTCATGAAAGTTTATAAGCAAGTGAATGGGAAAAACATAATTTTCCAACACATGATGATAGAAAACTGGCTATGTGGAAAATTTTCATATACAAAATTAAAATCAATCATTTTATAACATAAAATCTCTTTGGTTTTGTATAGG